TTAAGCAATGCAACTTATTTTCATTTTCCTTTGACTAACACGATTCAGTGAAGACTTAAAAAGAACACAAATATCCAAAATATCTCAAAAATAAATGATTCGAAACTAAAAAAAGACGAATAATTTGCTGCATGACATTCACTCAACCATAACTTTCGAATATTACTAAATTTTCAATAACCTTAACAACTTTTTATAAATAATACTAATAATAATACTATGCAACTGTTGTTATTTATGAAAATTTATGACAGATAAAAATATAGTTTTAAAAATCCTATTCGCCACTTACAGGCACCTATTAAGCTTTACTGTTAAAGCATAAAGCCTTCATGTGTTAAATGAATAATCGTATTTAGTAAAAATTTTTTAAAAAAAGTATAAAAAATGAGTTATTTTGGCAACCAAAAGTTTCTTTTCGATTTTCTATCGATAAATTTCAATTAGTTACACAAAATTGAACATAATCAATAGTGTAAAATCGGTTTCACCTGGATATTAACAACAGATTGTTGGAAACCAATAGAAAAAGCAAGAAGACAAAGCGAAGTGCAGTCCATCTCTGGGGATTATATTAATATTATAGAACATGTGCCTCGCAACGTTCTCGCCTAGTTTTCGCCAACCAACACTTCTATATTTTTCCAAAGCCATCAATATTTCACATACTCTATTATTTAAAGAAAAAAAACTTAAATGATAAATAAATGGCAAAATTTGAAATATAATTATGACCACTGATAACAGTGATAACTGCAGCTTTAATTAATAACTGAAAAATTTCACATTTTTTAATTAATATTTTCAGTAAAAATAATACTATTAATGTAACAATTTTAAAAAGTAATAATTTGTAAATCTTCCAGATATATCTACGAATATAATCATATATATATATATATATATAAAGGCAACCGCCAACACAAATGCAAGCAATATCACACCGACAAACGTAGACATAAACGCAACTGTAACGAAAGGATATATATATATATAATTAATAATTAATAAAATAAATTACTCCTTTTCTGCAAATACTTATTGAGAAAAATTATAATTTAAAATATATTTTTTGCTACAGAAACAATAATCAAAAATAAAGATATCTTCAATTCATTCAAAATTCAAAAAGATATCTTCTTCTAACCACCTATACTGGTTAGGCTGGCTCGACTGGCTACAAGAGTAAGACGTTTCCAAGCTGCGCGATCTAATGCCATCATCGACACAGTAATAGAAGCCATTTCCTTTTCTATCTAAGTCCATACATTGCTGGTCCACCTATACGTTCAAAATTTTTCCTGACCCTATCAGTCCAGGTCTTGATTGGCCCACATCGCCATCACAGGATTCAGCAAGTAATAAAATATAAATCAACTCCTGTCCTAATCAACGAAGGCGACCCTCTGTGATAGCACTGTTAATGGTGGTATCTGAGTAAAAATGGATGCAATCATGTGAAATTTTATCCACTCGGCAAATTCGTGAAATTACCTTATGTGGTCATGTGGTCATATAATAACTTCAATAGATAACTTCTTAATATCCTCCATCTTCATTGGCCATATTTCGCAGCCATATAGCAAGATCGAATGAATTATGGCTATATAGACGCGGGCTTTCGTTTTCCTAGTCATTTTGCGACCAATCCATAAAGATTCCATTAACATTTTAAGGAACAATTCCATTATCCAGGCTGTAATTTTATCTTTTGTCTAGCCATTTGGTATTAGAGTGGATCCAAGGTATGGCCACTTCCTCAGCCGGCAATAAGTTTATAAAAAGGCATTTTAACAGTTTCTTGTATATAAGACGAAAAGGCTTTCGTTTTGTTTACATTGATTCCGAGTCCGATTCTCGCTGCAGCTGCTAACACGTTCTTTAGCATTATTTGCATGTCGTCATAATTGCAAAAAGGACTATACTATATCATCAATATATTTAAGATTTGTGACATGATGCTTTGAACTGATTTGTACCTCTTGGGTACCGATGAACGGTGTCCATTATCCACTTTATCAAATAGTTGAATGCTATAGGAGAAAGAATGGAGCCTTGATGGACCAGTTTTTATTTTAAAAAGGACTAGTTAGTTCTTCATTTACATAGACCTATGCCAAGGTATACTGATAAAAATGCCTTTATGAGCCGAATGATCTTCTCTAAGATACCTTCACATTCCATCACTTTCCAGAGCACTGCTCTATCACTCGAATCGAAGGCAGCCGCAAAGTCGATGAAACAAGATGGGTTGCAGATATTTGATGCGATGTTCCAACATCCTCCTTAATGTGAATAGCTGGTCAGCATAATCGCATCCAGGCCTGAATACAGCTTGATTAGGATACATCCTGGTGTCCAGTTCTGCCATAAGTCTATTGAGTAAAAAGAAATCAAAAAATTTTCGCTGAGACGTCCAACAGGCTGATTGTTAGTATGTCCTGTTATCTTTCTTGAAAATTGGGAGCATAATTGCTTTGCTCCATTCGTTATGAAGGACGATGGACAACATTTGAAAAGTTCAGCTCGAAAACCATTTCCTTACGGAATCTTATTGGCCTTAAGCCTATGAATAATGGAGATTATTTCTTTCTCTATTGGTGGTTCGCAGTTGCAATATGTTTTGATGAACGAATCAGCTATGTCCTGCTCAATAGCGCAACATGGTTAAGTTTGGCCTCAAAGAATTTCTTCCATCTAATAAGGTGATACTCTTAACAGGGACACCATTGTTATATTTTACCATTTCATCGATTGTTTCCCGAGTTGTAATTGCTTTATGAAAAAGGCAGAATAGTTCCCTATTATCACCTATCCAAGCCATTGTCTCCATTCTCAAGGCTATTTCACTCCAATAGTGATTTCTGTCTCGCCGTGCTGCTTTCGTCGCAAATCTTCAAAGAGTAATCAGGATCATTCGTGCTTTCACATGCAGAGAGCCGTTCCTCTCTGATAGATTTTGTCCTAGCTTGTCCTAGTTTGCGGGTACATTTTATTTATGAACGTTGGGAATGTTTTATACCTGGATTGTATATTTATCGCATATATCATGAGACTGGGAGTATCATGCGCGTCAGAGGACGCAAAAGCCATGTCAAGAACATTTGGTCCTTTCACCATAGAGTCATTTGAGGATAGAGTTACGGATGGATGCCCACCTGGAAAAAAATATATCGAAAATTAATACTAATACGGTTAATAATTAAAAATTAATTGAATTTCTTAAATTAAATTGAATATTTAGAAATATTTGAATTAAAAAGTTGATAAAATGAACAAATAACTTATATTTAGTTATCTAGTGATATGATAAAAATAAGGCAAATCATATAGAAAATGACAAGAGAAACAAATGTGGAAGGTGCATTTCTCTGGATTCATATCTTCTTAAGAAACCCGCTGATTCAAAAAAATTTTTGCCTTCTTATTAGAGGCTATGATGGTTGGCCACAGGGGATGTGAGATGTTTCCAAACACCGATTTATTATAAACAGCAAAGGTTATTTGGAAAGAGATATATGTGATACTTCACGCTATTAATTTCAACAAATATAATTAAATCATCAAAAAATTAACAATAAATTACATTAAATTTCATTTAAAAAGATAATTTCTTTTCACAAAGGAAAATATTATTTATAAATATTTAATTTTGACATAAATTAAATAAATTATTGAATTTAAAATAGGACGACTTTTATTTTAAATAATTATTCGTTTTACCGACAAAAGAAATAACGAAAAATCAAGATTCGCACGACGCAATCTGCTGACTGGGTCAACTGATATTTGCGATCAAATTAGATCACCAACCCAACATCAAATGTGGCTTTGATAGATCCGAAATAAAACCAAGTAAGTAGAAAATCCTGTTTTTATCTGAAGAATTCAAAGAAACTCATTAAAATATTCCGAAGAAATACCACCCAAAATCTATTCCAAACAACTATTGGCCAGGTTTACTTCTAATTAGGAAGACCAGGACGAAAAAGACTTGGAAGAGACATCGAAAACACCGCTAAATGGTGAAATCAAAATATTTATCGAGAATTTTCCAAAATTGAATGTGGTAAAATTAGGATGTGGAATACTTTTATATTTATAACGTTTTCATGTTATTTATATTACTTAGTTTCTTATTACATTGCAGAAAACTTTATATTTTATAGATAATAATATATTATGTTATAATAAAATATAATTTATAATATATTTTTTCATACTTGTCTGATATTAAGGATTTATAAGCTAAGAGGACTAGTCAGAATCACAAAAAAAGAAAATCAAAAACCATAGTCCTCGAATTGTTTGAGATATTATATTATCACATTGCAACAATTTTCAAATTTTTCCGCATTTTTGGAAATTTCATAATATTAAGAAATATTAAGAAGAAAGAAATATACCATTTTACTCTTCTGTATCATATCCTCAAATATTTATAAAGGACAAACCCATCCACAACAAAAACAAAAAAATATTAACAGGCTTCATTTGTTTTGGCTTCATTTTGTTTCTTTCAATACTTTCCTTCCTAATATTGAGATTAATAACTTCGGAATTTGCAAAAATTCCAATATTTTTGTCATAAGCATGATTTAAAACCGGAAAAACTTTGTTCCGCAATAATCCAAACCAGCTTATTATTTAACAATTTATAAAATTACGTAAATTCATTTTCAGTTTACAAGTTATAGCAATTGAACAATTTAAAAATAAATAATGAAATTCTCAAAAAAAACAAACCAGAAAGAAAAGGCATATGCCGATTCACACAAATTAAAATAGGCAAATATAATTCGAAATATAAATTAAGTCTTAAACTTGTCCGTAAAATCAATGCATATTTTTTTAACAAAAGTAAAATAATATATGATATAAAATAATGTATGATCAATATTATTACATATATATAATAAAACTTATGAATAAAGCCTAGTATATAGTATATATGTATATATATATATATATGATAGGTATATAAATAAAAAACCAGATATCTAAAGAAGTTTATAATGATCAAGCATTGACGGTGATTGAAGAAATGCCGATGTCATCCCCGGTTCACTGCGAGATAATATAGATGTTGCTGCGGCACAAGCCCTTTGCAAAAGTGTTTCAATCTAATGCAAATTAATAAAGTCAGCTTCTTAAAAATGCAATTTAACTCTCAAAAATTTCATGAAAATTAAAAATTAAATTTATCAAACAAGTTTTGAGAAATTAATTGCAAGAAAAGATGAAAAGATAAATGAAAAGAGAGATAACCTGTACGAGATCATCTTTGCGTTTTAAACACTTAAGTTCTTCAGTAACACGTAAAGTTTGTTCAATCCCTTCAAGAGAAACGAAATCCTCCGCTACCTAAATTAGAAAATCTAAATAAATACTTGTAAATACAATAAATATAATAAGAAATTATGACGAAAAAATTGAACCTTTATAGAAGAAAATATATTTTGCACTTGATGCGCAACACCAGAAGGAATGAAAACTACATCGCCTTCATTCTGAATGAACAATTTACATTTTATTCCTGAAAGAACAACGATTAAAAATCTTCACATTTTTTTTTCTAGCAAAAATTACTAATTTTAAAGAAGATCGAAAAACGACAAATTATTAAAATATAAAATAAGATATTATTAAAAAATATTATTTTATAAAATATAAAATAAAATATACAAAAATATAAAACAAATAAAGCAAGCAAATAGACAAATCTACAAAAAATTGTACCACGACTTTCTAAGAATTGAACCATTTCATGTGTTACAATTACATCTTGATTATGAATGACGTCATCATCCCATTCCATTTCCTGAACATGAAAAAATACTTAACGTGAAAAGGGAAAAAGAAAATGAAAACCAAGAGAAAAAACAAAAATAGCATATTCAGGGGTAAAAAAAACTATAAAATAATATCTTTTCACTAATTGTTAATAATAACGAAAGCATGAAAATAACCTTTATATTTTTCCATTCCATAATTGCCTTTCTTAATTTCTCATTATCATCAGGATGAAAGACTTTCCATAAAGCACCAACTTTCGATGGATTATTAAGTGCACGTTCTCTTTGCGTGCCTTGAATTTTTTCTATATCAAGACGTTTTATGACTTCTAAAATTATTAAAAGCGATAAGACTGAAGAAAACTCATTTCATTTGAATTTTAGCGACAATTAAGGCAAATTAGATATGAATAGATACTAAATAGTCAGAATAATAAAAAGAATATTACCAAACAAGATTTCGTCATTAGACATTTCCATAGGTGGTTTAACAACAGCCAAAAAATTTACTGCGTCTGATACATCCAAGTGCAAAGGCGTCGATGCTAAATATGGCTCGTCATATAATCCTAGAAAGATATTTATAAAAAATTTAATAAATTAGATAATTAATAAAATTTATTCTATTAGATAATGCCCCACATTTATATATTTTATAATTATAAATATGATTCAAAAAAAAATCCTTTTCAGTATGAAAAATAACAAACCGAAACAAATGTAAGCTTTGGGTCCAGGATCTGGTCTTTCTTCTTGTCCAATCAGCATGTTCAATAAATTAAGTCGCCCAAAGCCACTTTCCTTGTGATTAATATGACAGTAATCGAGAAATGGCATCACTTCATAAAGATTTCGATATTGCAAGGGAGCGATGTCGGAAAAAAGCATGGTTTCAGGGAAATCTTTCACCTGAAAAATACGAAGCAGTTCATAAAAAGATCAATAATTTAGAAAACGGTAATAAAAGGCAAAATGTAGTTAAACTTGAAAGATCAGTACCTTTAAATAAGGTTCCTCGCTAAACCGCTTCGATCTAAACCTTTGCCAAAAATATGGAAGAGTGCATGGTTCTCCATCACACAAGTACGGAAGAAATGTTCGACTATCAAGAACTAACAAATTTGAATCCCCTAAAAGTATAATAAAAGTATAATTCATAACCAAAAACTTGGATATTTATACAAAACAATATGCATTATAGATTGAATAAGTGAAAAAAATATTAAAAGAATATTAACTCGAAAGCACTTCCTCAAAAGCTGTTTGCGTCCATAAAGCAGGAACGAAACGAGGATGCTTGTTAACTCCTTCTACTATAATTGGATTATGTGCGGCCATATGAGCTTTGAAGGAGGTATAGGCGTCTTCTCGGAACTAAATTTTACTGTTAATTTAACTTTTTCTTTCCATATTTTTCTGAATTTTATGTAAGATAACGACAAATTAGATTTTTAAATATTTTATCATAATGAATAATAATAAAACCAAAAAAACCTGATCCTTAATCATACAGATTGATTCGATTTTAACAATCGATGGAGGTGAACGTCTTGGACAATAACATTTCTCCTGCAATTTTCAATTCAATTCAATAATAGATACGCTTTGAAATATTGAAATAAAGAAAGAAACCTCTTGAAAGTGTCTTCTTCCATGATTACCATTACATAAAGCTCCACCATTTTGTATATCAAATCGACAAAACTGATATTCCACTGCATCCAATAATTCTTTTAGCGAATCTTCAGAAGAAAATTTCTTTGCACAATGAAATTTAAAATATTTGAAAATATTTCGAAATTTTAATTACTATAAATTATCAAATTCTTATTCCTCCTATTAACCAATTATCATTCTTCAAAATTACCAAATGAAGGAATGAATGAAGCGAGATGAAAGTCTAATGGAGTGTGAGATTCAATCGAACACGGAATCCTCTTTATCCATAATGGACATGAATCATCTAAAAACCATAAAAACAATATGAGGAACTAAATTTATCTTTCGAAACATTCAAAATAACTATTTCTTCAACTTTTTGACCTTGAAAAAAACTTAGATCTATTTTCAATGATTGTGATAAGTAGCAAAGGCCTGCCATCGATGGATGACAAGCCATTCCGAACGAAATTACATCACTACCTTTTCTAAAAAAATCGTTGTAACAAGAGATGCAAAGTTCAGTGCCACATTTTTTGCAACAAAAATGGATATTGAAAATCGAAAAATTACATGCATCACATATTTGCTTATTAATCGAAAGACTAAAGAAAGCTTCAGTTTCTGCAAATAATGAATGAAAAAATAATAAAAATCATTTTTGGACGAAACTATATAAAAATTTTTTTAAGTATTTATTTAAAAACTAGTTTTAAAAAATTTAGTGCTAAAAATTGTGGAACTTCCCATACCAAGAGGTAAGGAAGCTAAAGCCATTTCTTCACGATGTATAATTTCTGCATAAAAAGGTTTTACACACTGAAGAATATAAGCAGCGATCTGAGAAAGTTCTTTCGGATTATGAAATCCACTTACTGAAAGATAATATATCTTTTAAAAAACTTAAATTTGGCAAAAAGCTAACTGATTACTAAATCGGCATTATTTTTAACTTAACTGATCACAAAAAATAATCACTGTGAATGGACGCGCGATAGTTTGTTTGGACTATGGATGCAAGCATCTGTGTCCCGTGAATGAAATCATAAAAAATGGAAGATGATTTTGAGCGATAGGATAGGACAATGGGGCTAGCCAAACCAGAAATAGTGAGTATTGCTGGAAGTATTTGTAACTCTTTAAATAACAAATGATCACATTGATCATTAGTAAAGATAAAGTATTAGCAATAGTAAAAAAGGTTTGATTCTTGTTCGAGAGACGATTTAATTTGCTACTAAAAATGTAGTTGAGTGCTGAAGATGATGTACCTCTGTCTCCCATACGCCTAAAATAACTCAACATTGTTGTTCTCATTTTGAAGTACGAGAGTTCCACCTCCTCATAAAGGAGAATCCTGATGGTAATATATTTTCTTGGCAAATGATTCCAAGGCAAAATTTGTTTATAAAACGAAGCTAAGCAAAAACGGATAGCGCTTAGAAAAAAATTTTCATAAAACATTAATAAAATGAAAATTCTAACCTGGAAAATGAAATTCACTCACGTTTGCTCGCTTATAAAAATTGTAAAGATTCTTTTTGAAATATCGCATATCAGATATAGTTAAACGACGACACACCCTTGGATTAATTTTAGACCGTCTAAATAAGAAATCCTTGAAAATCCCACACAGTTCAAATAAAAATTCAAAAAATTCAAAAGAAACTTAATAAAACTTACAACATACGATAGGAAAAGCGACAGTCCTGACGAACTGGAATTGTTTTACTACAGCTAATGCAGGCATCATAATGTGCACTTGAACAAGGTCCCTCCTGTAAAATATACACTTATTAGAACGAATCTGGTTCCTGAAAATATTCAATTAAACTAAGATAAACGAATTTCAAAGGTTAAATGGTATTGTTTAATTTCCTTAAATTTAAAAAGCAATAATAATAATTGATCGATCCAACTTTTCATTTGGTTTCGAACGATGTTTTTTTAAGTTTATTTTTTATTAAATTTATTTTATTTAACTTTTTAAATTTATCCACTTCATCCTTCTTTCGACAGGAGCAAATCTATCAAAAATCCGGGTACTGAATTTAATGCTGGGGACCCATCTGCAACTCTATCCACAAATGACTCTTTGGTGAAAGGGTGATGTCCTTCACACGGTCGTGTTCTCCCATGCGCATGACATCCCTAACCAGGTAGATGCGACATACAATCCCAGCATAAAAAGATAGCAAGGCTTGTAATAAAATATGCTCACAAGCTACGGCAATAGCTCGAAACCTGTCAAAGAGAACGACTCTCTATACGAGGCGAAGTATTAGCATTAGCAAAGTGGAATATCAGAACGCTTTTGTAAGCCAAGCGATTATACTGTCCATACTTTTCTATTATGTGGATTTCGCTTACCGGACATCCATCTTCACTTCGAGTCTCGAGTAATTACTAAACCTGCTTCGGAGTAGAAATACTGGTTATCATTGTGGTGTTTCGGATAACTCGGGGCGAACTGGCAAAGCGATTGAACTGAAAAGGCCGCTTATTCCGCTTTGACTGAGCGGAAACCTATAAGCGACAGTATGGCCTATGCCCGCTTTAAAGGTAATTTCTGCAATATCTCGGCATCAGTGTTTATGCCCCAACTTTGTCGGCAGATGACTATGATAAAGATATATGATATGCAGAACTTCAATCGCTAACCAAGTCTCTACCGAAACATGGTCATAATAGAGGGAGACGAATGTGAGCGTAGATCATGATGCCGCTATGATGGACTCGACAACGGGCAACTATGGCACAGGAGTCCAGTAGAAAACGCCTTCTTTGCTCTGCCGAAGAGCATGAACATCTCATCATTATTATCTTCTTATCATTAATATATGCTTCCAGCATTATCGGATTGATAATATCTTAGTCCACGTTGGAAGAGTTTACTACTAAATAGATGTTCCTATCATGATGCTAAAACGGGCAACCTTCATGGATCTGATTATATTATGGTTCGAGCCAATATCCATATAAAAATACCATTCCCCAAAATTCTTCAACTATTTCAAACTAAAATATTCGGGGACAGTGAGCGCATTTCAAATCGAATTATTGAAGCATCTCAATGGTACAAATATCAATGAGTTTTCTGGAAAGGTAAATGAATACTGGTCCAAATTAAAGGAATGTTTCCGAAAATCACTTCCACGCTAGGACATACCAATAGGAAACAACTGTCCAACTGAAAAGGCTGCCAAAGCACGAATGTCAGGTGATCCTGACTACCGGATTCTTCGAAGATTTGTAACGAAAGCAGCGAGGCGAGACAGAAATCACTATTGGAGTGACAAGGCCTTGAGAATGGAGACAGTGGCTCGGATAGGCGATAACAGGAAATAATTCCGCCATCTTTATAAAGGAAATATTAAGGACTGCCTCATAAGATGGAAGGAATTCTTTGATGCCAAACTTAACCATGATGCGCCATCTATTGACCAGAAATAGCTGATATATTCGTCGAAACATATTGCAACTGCGAACCGACAAATAAAGAAAGAAATATTCGCCACATACGATAATAGGAAATTATTCCGCCATCTTTATAAAGAAACTATAACTTGGAGAACGACCAAAGAAATAATAATGTATCTATTAAAGTTATTAAGCAGCACGAGACTGATATAGCTGATCCGCTAGTTGAGCCATATATTTGCAACTGCGAACAGAAGAGGAAATAATCTTCGTTATAGCTCTCGAGCTTAATTTTTAATATTGTCCATCGTTCTTCATTTCATACCTTCAACCAGTGTATTCTCTGGTATGGAAGAAAGAATTAATACTAGATAACTGGAGCGAATCAATCAATTCTGCTCCCAATTCCCAACAAAAGTGACAGGACATATTGCAACATCATCGAGGAACCAGCCTACTAGACGTCTCTGTGAAAATTTTTGTTTCCCTTCTGCTCAGTAGACTTATGGCTGTATGGGACACGCATCCTAATCAAGCTGTATTCAGAGACGTCTAGTAGGCGTAATTGTGCTGACCAGATATTCATGTTAAGAAGGGTACTGGAACATCGTCGCTTCAGATACTTGCAACCCACTATCACGTGTTTCATCGATTTTTTCAGCTGCCTTTGATTCAATTGATAGAGGTGCTTTAGAGGGTGATATAACGCGACGGTGTTCCAGAGAAGATCATTCGACTCATAAAGGCATTTTATGAGCATACACCGGCGCAGGTGTATATGGAGAACTGATAGATAGAAATAAGAACTGGTGATCGTCAAGTTTATATCCTTTTCCCTACAATATTCAACTATACGACAGACTGGATAATGGACACTGCTTGTCGGCACTCAAGAGGTAGACCAGAGCATCTTACCACGATCTTTAATACGCTGATGATGTAGTCCTTTTTGTTATGAGAAATGCAAATAATGATAAACAACATAACATATTAACAACTGCAGAGAGAATCGGACACAGGATCAATATAAAACGAAAGCCTTTTCATCTTACATACAAGTAGCTGATAAAATACCTATCATTGCCGATTGAAGAAATGTCTAATTTAAAATATCTTGGATCCACTCTAATTCCAAATAGCCAGATAAGAGACGAAATCACAACCATAACGCCAGCTAGAAATGCTGCTGATTTAGTAGACGAAATCTTTATCGAGTCCACAGTCACCATATTACCATAAATAGCGGCGTCTATATAGTTGTGGTTCGCTCGATCTTGCAGTATGACAACGAGACATGGCCAATGAGAGTGGAGGATATCAAGAATTTACCAACCTTTGACCGCTCATGTCTAAGATATATTTTAGGAGTTCACCGAGCAGATAAAATCTCACTTGATCGCATCCACTTTTTACCACCTGTATTAAGTACCACCATAAAGCGTCGCCTTCACTAACTAGGGCAGATTTTTCGTAGCTCACCACAAGAATTAATTTCATTAGTTGCCAAACCCCGTGATGGGTGGCATCAGAAGCGAGGAGAGCCAATCAAGATCTGGGCTGATACGGTCAGGAAAAATTTTGAACGTATAGCAATATACGGACCTGGATGATGGAAAAAAAATGGGTTCTATTACTGTCGACGTGTCAGATCCTAACCCTTATAGCCGGTGAAACCAGCCTAACCAGTAATGATGAGAAAAAGAATTCCCTAAAAACGCCTGATGCTCAAAAAGTTTTCGCTCATTCTGCTGAAATATCAATCGTTATTTATTTCTATTTTGTTTATCATCTACTGAAGTTTGTTTCGTTTAATAATCGGGATAAAAATATAGTTTATAACTGCTTTTTATTCTATAGATCGATTACTGTTTGCATAAAAATCAAAACAAACTTTTAATATAATACCATCGCACAAAATAAAAAAAACTCTAAAAGGCAAAAAAATTATTATTTCAAGAAAATCAAACAAACCTGAAGTCTCATATTCCGAAACTTTTTTGAGCGATTTACCATAAGTCGAAATTTCCTTGCTTGATTAGAGTCACAACCAATGCGATTACTTCGCTCAATCTTTAGACAAGCTTTGTTTAATTGTTCTGTAAAATTTTCAAAATTTCCTCAAGTTTTAGTACTATAATTTTCCCCACAACTCGAGCTTTATCGATTATATTTTCAGTCCTTTAAAATTTAATGCTTTCATTCTATCGATTAGTATGAAAATCGCGTTAAATTTTTGCACATAGCAGTAGGATCTCTGTATAAAACAAATTATTCTCGAAGTGCTTGAATATTTAAATAAATATCTCAAATGCCCTTGTGACCTTTTTGGTATCATTTTGCTAGTAAAAACCACCATTCTGCATAAAATCGCTATAATAATGTTCAGAAAAGAGCTTCGAGACCAGAAACTTAGAACTAACCATCATCTCCTTGATTAGTAGCTATTTGTTCATGGAATTGCTTATCTGCTATTTCGAATTCCATACTGGAATAAAATAATTAGAAGTCGTATCGTATCGTATTTTAAATTATATGAAACAACTAGGCTAGGACGAGATTCAGAAAAAATTTCGCTTCACTATGTTCATTTACGTGTTACCATGGCTTTTATGACTCACTGGTCAACTAGTAATCGGTAGTAGGTCAGAGGACTGCAAAGTACCATTGTATTAATAGAATATTTATAGATTTTATCGACAGGATCGAGCGATACGTTCCTTCGAACCCATTCTCAGACTTCTGTCCTTTTCAGACAGAACAGAGAGATTCATGAGATACAGAGAGCACACGACACGTCCATCGCGAAGAGACCCCGACCTAACGGTTAGTGGAACTCGCTAAATCAGGAATGTCGTGCACTCGTTGAAAAGGGAAAAATAGTCAATGGTACTCAAAATATTCACGAAGCACTTTTAAATTGGACACAATTTTATTTATTCATTTTGTTTTCTCATTTATTTCGTTCGTTTTGAATATTTTTAAAATTAATTGTTACTGAATCACATGTGAACTCTTTAAATTAGTTTTATAAATGTCGATTAGCTGATAGATTTAATTTTATAAATGTCGGTTTGCCGGTATACTTCCGTAATATCGAAATAGGAAAATGAGCACATCAGAGATATTTAGAAAACCACAGCGTAGCGGGAGATGTGAGACGAGTAGAATAAGGAAAGAGTACGGTGCTGACGGAAAGAGGAACAGAAAAACGATAAGACAGCGTAAACTGTTGGTGAAGAAAGAGTACGACAATGAGAGAGAACAGTGCAAACCTAGCCAAAGCATGCCAGAACGCAACCAAGTACCACCAATTTTTAAAAAATATAAGAGGAAAACTTAATATGGAATAAAATGCAGATTAATTAACGGGATGTAAATCATACTATTAGTTCCTCTAAAAAACGATAGAAAAAATAAACGAAAAATTTATACGCTCAGCTGCTCAGCTGACCCCTGACCCCACGAAAATCAATAATGAATAAACCAATCATTAATGAAAGACTTTAAGAAAAATTGGCACCAAGCCAAACCAGGACATTTTTGCGGGAACTCAAACGACTAAAAGTGACTGCGAGTCGTAAAAAGTATAAAAAGTATACCAACTGTAGAAGAAAGTTGAAGAAGTAGTTTTTTATGGCTGCCTTCTCCTCGTTTTTCCCGTGTTGTTTAATAACGTATTCAGCAGGAATTTTTCATTTTCCCACAAACTTTTCTTTTCCTCTACTTTTCTTCCTTCGTTACATACTCCTTTATTTCTCAACGATAAGCGGTATTTTGTCGTTTTTTATTCAACTTCAACGTGTTCATATAGGTTCTTTTGGTAACTTAGTTGGGCCTCTGGACTCATCCCAAAATTATTCCAGAAAATCACTCGGAGGAAAAGAAAAGAAAAGGACAGAAATACAGACTGGTCTCCAGCATCGGATTTCAGTTTCAATTTATTTTTCAGAAAAATAAATTATTTAAAGGTTTGATTTCCACTGGTGATAAAATTATAAGTTATTTAGTTATCTTACTTTGACTAAAACAAATAATTTCTAACGTAGTCTAATTAAATTTTCTTAGTTCGTTGTCTAATTAAATTTCCCTATCCAAGTTTACAGATCGATGATTAGGAATCTCCATGTTGAGGTACAGTATGAACTGCTGTCGTTTCGGAGTGCCCATGCTGGTGTTTTCTCTCAGAGTTTTTCAAAGGCGATCCTGGCTGCTTACCTGTCCACCAAGAGATCCCCCAGTGAAATTCGTCTGGTTTGACAAGACAGGAATGAGCCCAACCTGAAATGGCAAAATAATTTTTAGAAAATAAAATTTACAACCGCCTATGAAACTTCACAGCATCTGAGCGGCAAACGACAATAACAGGAGCAATGGCGGATAGAATTCCTCCTCATAACACTCCAAAAATCAATAAAGAACGAAGATACCAGTCCAACAGGTATCAGAAACCGAATCCATGACAGCAATGCCTGTTCTTATCTTTCGACATATGATTAGTTCCTTACTAATTAGGCTAAAATCGCATAATTCATGATTCACGCCCACATAACCGAAAAGAGTTATTTCTTGGCTCTGTGGGAAATTTTATTCAAATAGCTGCTGTCAATATGCTAAAAATTAAACTGATTTTAAATATCAAATTAACAAATTACTTTTAAAATTATTTTTTCTTACAGAATTCTTCAAAATGCTATGTAGAAAAGTTTATTTTCCAATCAATAGTAATCTAAAAATTTTTCGAACCCAAAAAACGGATTATTTTTCAACTGGGAATTTCATCAGTAAAAAATTTTGTCAATTTATTTTTTTACCAAAAACCTTGTTTTTAAAAATTCTTTTTCTGCTGAAAGCATGAATAAAATATAAAATACAAATAATTGATTGATTTTACTGACTATAACTCTTTCGCTATAAAGTTATTTAAAGATAGATCACTTTTCATCAAACACTTTATTTTTATTTGTTAATAAAGATAAAAATGCCTTTTCTATTTCTTCATTAGCTAAAAAAATTATTTTTCAAATCACATACATTTCTTCCATTTATTCTTATAAAAAACATTGAATAAAACTTAAACCATAATGTAACAGTAATATAGTTTCATTAAATTGTATGCTTTTTAAATTATACTTTACATAAAATAAGCGAAAATGAAATTAAATGTAAATGAAAATAAGTAAAAACAAACTGAAATGATTTCATTCTTAATAAATGCAATAGCAGATAAATCTCCTTTCCTTTAGTTTATTATACTACACGTACCACAAAAGAAACAAATAGATTATCCAATGAATTTTCAATAATTTAAAGTTTTACTCAGGTGGGTAAAAATTTCGCGGTCTCTTTCCTGATATCAGTTCTTATACTTCAAGAATAATATATAAATGATATATGGATGATATATCTACAGAGAAATTATTATCAGCAATTCTTCAAAAAAAAAATTTAGCGCTGAAACTTAATAATAGAAAATAAAGGTAAGGACGATGGTTATACTGTATCGTGCTATTATATATTTTGAAGGATGTATATTAAATTGTTGACATAAAGTTTGATAAAATAAAAATGAATTATTTTAATAAACCAAAAGATTTGCTGACTCCCCGAGTGGGATTATTCATCGGTGAAGACCACAGTGCTGACGAAGTACGTTTATCATAGCAAACACGATTTCGAGCAAAAATTTTCGCAAGATCCGGTTCAAGAATTGGTCCAAAATAATCATCTGTAATTGGTGGATGTCCGATTTGTTCTCGTAAAGCATTTTCCAATCTTTCGACTGCAATTAATGAATAACAGGAAAATCGTAATTATTTCCTAATTATTATTCTAAATACACCTTTAAAAATAATGATTAGATAAAACAAACAATAAAATAAACTCTAAAACGAATTGCCATCACTTTAGGTTCACTTCACTTTAGGGCTCAGTTCATATTGAAAGCTATCTGACACTAGAAAATATAAATAAAACCATACATTGAGCCCAATCAGGAATCGGTTTTTTTGGATTATTTTCATCATCAGTTTCATCTCCTGATGACATATCGTCAATGTCGTAATTTTCGCTAATTACTGGCTGAGAAATTGTAATTTCTGTTCTATAAAAAATCACTTATGTTAAAAAACATGGAAATTTTTAGACAGATCAGCCGACACCAGTGCTCTATGGCTAAATTATTATAGATTAACAGTAAAATAATATAACAAAATACCCTATAAAATTACATTATTATATTATTAAAATTACATATGATACAAAGGAAATTTTAAAAAAAGCAACAATAAATACACTTTTAATACTCACTTTTAACTTTTTGACAAATAAAAATTTCAAAATTGAAAAATTATTTCATAATTTACTTCGATTTAGTGCATTGCGAAGAACTCGGATCAACAGTGATTGCTTTAGGAACCACATCACATAAAGCCGTGCCACCATATTTTTTTGGTTCCAGATTTGAAATCGATCGTATTAAATTATTCTCTGGTGCAGTCTTACCATCGCTCATATTTTCTTTATTATAAACAGATGATAATGAAGATTCAATCTGCTCTTTCTCATCAATTTCCTCATGCAATGTCAGCGACTCATTTATGTTTCTTATTTTATCGCTACATTTGTTTCCACTAGAACTTTTTTTATGAACTGTATTGATTTGTTGGTGAATTTCTAGTAAATTATCCTTATCCTCAACTGTTTTAAGTCGTATTACCATCGGTGATTTGTCAATTCCAAATTTTTGAGGTTCAGGTGCGACAGAAAATTTCGATTGCTTGGTAGCTTCAAAATAAGATAAGGTATTTTTGATAGAAGTTATTTCTTCCTGTTCTCCACTTTGTTCTGAGGTGGATTCAAGAAACCTGGTTTTATCATTTTCTTCAGAGCAAAGCCCCACAGCTCTAGAATTATCGATCTGAAAATAAAATCTGAAATCAGAATGAACTAAAAGAAAAATTTTTCACAAAAACTTGAGTAAGATTGCAAACTTATAAGTTTTAATTATAATCATTCACATTTCATTTAAGAAATAATGAAGAGCGAAAAAGAACCATTTTTATGGAAAAATTTTCTTAAATCTTTGGATGTTAAGAAACATTTTTTTTAAGAGTCCTCACCATTACTGGTTAAGCTCGCTCCATTGGCTTGTTGCATTAGGCAATATACTAGGGAGCCCTTTGGCGATAGAAATAAAGGTAATCGCCAGCATCAACCAGATTTTTGTACAGGGAAATCGAACCTTAGCATCGGCTCCCGATTGAGCAACAACTCATTGAGCCATTCTATCTCCTTGTTAAAAAAACATGGAGACAAACAATTCTCAAAAGTTAGAAGCCAAAAAACCAGAGGATGGAATCAAAAACATCTTGTTCTACAAAAAATTTCATTTAAACATTGGCAGTACTATGCGTTAAAGGGTGGAGACAAAAGTATATCGAACCTTTATCGAAACGCTTCCCTTAAATACTTTTCGTGCCGGACTATAAATGGAAGTTTGATCGAATTTTTTAATGTTTATTTGTTTATGGAACGGTGCAAGCCTGAATTACAATATTAATCATTAATACAAAAAAAAAAATTATATTAGTCTTCTTCGTTTTTACTTTATAAATAGAACGCAATAATTCATACTCGACTGACTTCAAAGTTGAGCCAGGTATAAAAGTTCAGGCCACTTTTTTCAGAGAGTTACTTGAAAATACATCCTAGATCTCCGACAGCAGCGTGGATTTCATTGCTCATGCATAAAGCAATCAATGCGAAATGAAAAGTTTTTTTAATCTTTAATCTTGTCCTTTTATAAAATTTTATTTACCTCGCAGGACTTTTATGTAAGCAAGATTTTAATGGTGTCGTTTGCTGTTCTTTCAACATTTCAACCGCTCTTTCTCTTTTGCGAATAATTTCTTTTCTCTGAGCTGCTTCTTCTTCTTTCTTTTGATTATTTATTCTTACGCGCATTTCTCGTTCCTCTCGATCTCTGTTCATCAAGTTAATAAATGTTTAAAAAATGAGGTGAAAAATTAAAAGAAAAAAACAATATTAATTCATGTAATAATAAAATAAAACTCCAGGACACAATGGGCATAATAAAGCGGACAATAAAACTTGATGATTTAGTCCAAATCTATACATAATACATGAGATAGAAAAATCAGCGAAATCACGATGAACTTGGTCTCTGCCAAAATTATTCGCTTAACATTCCTTCGAACACTGTTATACCATCACCAGCAAAATCTCCATTTTACTCGCATGACAATATCCATCTATATTACCCTTACAGCTCTTTTTATAGCCCCTAAACCCTTTCTCTCTTTTTTATGTTATAATCATAATCAAAATCTCTTACAACTTTATATTTATAACTCATATAAGAAAGAGGTAAATAGGAAAAACTGAAAAAAAAAGTTATTTAAAAGAATTAATCGCAGTAAGAAAATAAGAAAATAAGATAAGCAAAATATTTTTACAGGATACAGAAAGGATATGTATGAAATGATGTTATAGTATTACAACACCGAAAGAAAGGAATGCTAATAGATTTTTAAAAAATGTCACAATTAATTAATTTAAGTAAAAGTAAGAGATAATTAACACCTACCACTTCAATTTAGGCTCATTTTTTTTGTTGTTGGTACAATGAGAAATTTTTGCCACTTCACCTAGAGCCACTTGAAGAGTCTCCAAGAGCATGGAATTTTCACTGAAATGTTCCCTCTTGCAGAACCAGAATGCCTGCGATAATCAGAGTAAGAACCATTCAGTTATAATGTCCCGTCAGAGATTATAACAAAAAGCAGAGTGAAAAGATGGAATGGACAGAACATTATAAATAAAAATGTTCCATCTTAAAGGATGTGGATCGACATTAATGGGAAGTAGCAAAAAAGAACAACGGACCAAGTACTGAGAGAATATATTAACAGCCAATAAGAGAATTTAAGGAGGCTAGTGAGAATAAGTGGGTTTAAAGATATATTAATGATGATATCATACATGGTGGGGTTAGGCGGGACAGATATGATGAGGTTATAAAATGAGGGTATGAAGAGAATAATAGTTTCTAAGGAAGTTGTTAGAAGACTATGCATGAAATAATGACAGTGTACAAGTAATTTGCAATATATGAAATGGTATTTTTGATACAGCGTCCGCGTCTCCCGATGCGCATGATGCTCCCAGTGGTACATGCGATAAATGCACAATCCGGGCTTAAAGCGATACCAAGGCTGACAAACAAAATGTGCTTGCAAGCCAGGATAATTGCTCGAAACCTATCAAGGGAAACAGCTCCTGCATGCCTGGCAAGGTATTAGACGTATCAGGATAGAACGCTTATGGACGTTGCAAGCCAAGCGATCTCTGTCCACATCCTTTCTAAATGTCATGTGGATATCACCTGCCTGTCCAAGGTCTCGAATAATTACTAATCTTGACTCGGAATAGAGGTATTGGCTGTGGTGCATCGGATAATTCGGGGCAAAATGGCGTAGCGACTATCATATCTGACAAGACAGATTCCGCTTTGAGTAGAAAAACGGGTAAGCGACCGTATGGCCTATACCCTTTTAAAGGTCTGCAATATCTCGGTCATAAGTGTCTATGCTCCGACTCTATCTTTAGATGACCGTGATAAAGATAAGCGGAATTTCAACTGCTAACAAAGTATCTACCAAAACATGATATATCGGAAACCAGTGCGCCAGTGATGGGGGAAGCCTTCTTCGTTATGCTGAAGAGCACGAACTTTTTATTTCACGTTGAACTCTCCCGACAACTAACTTCAACCAGATTGATTATATCTTATATCGATTATATCTTATTATAACCAGATTGATTATCTCTTAGTCAGTCACCGTTGGAAGAGTTCCGTACTAGATAGTCGTTCCTACTGCGGCGCTGAAACGGAATCTTCAAGGATCTGACCATGCTATGGTTCGATCCGCATAAAACTGAAAACTCGCAGAAAACAGTATCCCGCAAGATTCTTCAACTATCTCAAACTAAAATATTCGGGTGCAATGAGCGCATTTTAAACTGAATTATTGAAGCATCTCAGTGATATAAATATCAATGATTTTTCTGGAACGGCAAATGAATAAACGTTCTAAACTAAAGAAATATCTTTGAAATGTCAGCAACTTCCACGCTAGTAGGAAATGCGCTAGTTGGTAAGCAGCTGTCCAACTGTCTGAAAAGTTGCCAAAGCATGAATTTCAGAAGATCCTGACTACTGGATGCTTCGAAGATTTGCAACGAAAGTAGCACGGTGGGAAATCACTATTGGAGTGACATGGTCTCAAGAATGGAGGCGGCGGCTCGATTAGGAGATAATAGGAAACTATTCCTCCTTCTTCATAAAGCAACTATAATTCGGGAAACGATCAGTGAAATGGTAAGGGACAGCAGTGATGTGCCAGTCAAGAGTATTAAGGACCGCCTCATAAGATGAAATTCTTTGAAGCCAAATTTAACCATGAAGAATCATCTGTTGCCCCTGATATAACTGGTAGGTTTGCTGAACCATATGCTTGCAAGTTCCCAGACAGAAGAAGAAATAATATATTATCCATAAGCTTAAGGCCAATAAGACTCCGCGAGATGGGCTGAGTTTTTCAAATGTTATCCATCGCTCTTCATAACGCACCTTCAACAAATGTACTCTTTAGTGTGGAGAAAAGAAATATTGCCAGATGATTGGAGCAAAACAATTCTGCTCCCAATTCTCAAGAAAGGTGATGCGACAATTATCGAGGAATTAGCCTAATAGACGTCTCAGCAAAAATTTTTTCTTCCCTTTTACTCAACTGACTTATGGAAGTACAAGATAGCAGAATGCGTCCAAGAAGCTAGATTCAAACCGGGGCGCGGTTGTATTGACCAGATATTCACGTTAAGAAGGGTGCTGGAATATCGTTTCAGATATTTGCAACCCATTATCACATGTTTCATCGACTTTGCAGCTGCCTTTGATTCAATTGATAAAAAAGCTCTTTGGAGGATGATAGAATGCGACAGTATTTCAAAGAAGATCATTCGACTCATAAAGGCATTTTAATGTTCATCGGCGCGGGTCTGTATATATGGGGAAACTGACAGATTCCTACGAAATAAGAAATGGTGCCTGTCAAGATTGTTCCTTTCCCCTACAGTATTTAACCATGCGATAGACTGGGTAATGGCCGCTTGTCCGCACTCAAGTGGTGTCAGAAATTGCAGCAAGAGTAGGACTCAGGATGTATACAGAACGAAAGCCTTTTCGTTTTTTGTACAAAAAACTGATTAAATGCCTCTTTTTGTAAATTCATGGCCGGTCGTGGAAGTGCCCGATTTTAAATATCTTGGCTCCACTCTAATATCAAATGACCAAAAGATGATATTATAGCCCGGATCAAGGCAGCTAGAAATGCGTTCTTCCGATTGACGAAATCTTTATGGAGCCGTCGTGAAATTACCATCAAAACGAAAGTCCGCATCTATATAGCCGTGATTCGTTCCATCTTGGTATATGGTTCTGAGACATAGCCAATAAGAGTGGAGAATATTAAGATGCTATCTACTTTTGACCACTCTTGTCTAAAGTATATTTTACAGGTCCATCGAACAGACAAAATATCACATGATCGCATCCATCTTCGTTCAAACACCACCTGTATTAATAATGTTATCACAAAGCGTCGCCTTCGGTGGTTAGGGCATGTTCTTCGTCGTTCACCACAAGAGTTGTCGTATATTACTTGGAAACCGTGTGATGGATGGCGTCAAAAGCGAGGTGGGCCAATCAAGACCTGGACTGATACGGTCAGGAAAGATTTTGAACGTATAGGTGGACCAGCAATATATAGACTTAGACGATGGAAAAAGGAATGGTTCTATTACTGTCGATGATGGCATCAGACCATGCCGCTTGGAAGCGTCTTATCCTTGTAGCCGTTGGAGTCAGCCTAGCCAGTAATGGTAAGAGCTTTTAGAATAAGAAGAAATATATCTGAAATGGCTTACCGCAAAAGTAATGGGATGTTTGGTAGTGTGCTGAAGGAAAATAATGGTCAATAATAAACTTTTGGTCAATAATGGCAAGTTTTCGTAAAATACAACAAAGGATTTGAGAACATCAGAGAATTCCGATTCACAACATTGAGTCAAAGCTTTGCACATTAAGGATATGGCAGATATAGCTCACTGTTACCTGACAAACTTCACACACCTGAATTAATAAGCCAAATTATTTTATTAATACCTTTTGGCACGTTCTACTTTCTCTCGTATGATTTCTTCTTTATTCATGATAACCATTCTTGCTTTTTCTTCTAATTTACGCATAATCGCAGACTTTCTCACAGCATTCTAAAATAAATTAAGTAAAATACATTATGAATAGTTGCAAAAATGTCCATTCTTTAGATATTCTTTTCGATGTTAAAAATATATTTAAGGTAATTAAAGATTATTATGTAAGTACATTAAATACTCTGAAAGATTAACCAAGTAGTTGCAAAATATTTGATACAAAATATTATAACAAAAATATTTGTTTATGATAATGGCTCAAAATCTTCCGAATGGGAGAAAATCGTGGAGAATAATAAGTCGAAGATCCTGTTGGACTTTCCCATCAAGACAGTCAAATATCAATCAACCGTCCAGATATCGTGGTCAATAAGAACCAGAAATCAGCACTACTCATAGAAATAGCAGTACCAAATGACAAGAACATCAAGAAAAAATAATACGAAAATATAAACAATAATATAAACAAATACCATGGCTTGAAAAATAAACTACAGAAGATTTGGAAAATAGAGTGGTTTCAGTGGTTAAAGCATTTGACTCCAGAAGATTCAAGGGATAATACCAGTAAACTATACCCAGAACACCCCACTGCTAAGAAAAGCTAAGATACTGTAAAGGACTCTCAAGACATTTCAGGCATTTGATACAGGAGGACTATACACAGGGGAGTGAAAAAGGGATTTTTAAAAGTACATTATAAATGCAAATATATATTTTTGAACATTTATTTCTTTCGCAAAATGTTTTATAAATTAGACCTTTATTATTGCAGTTGGACAGATTGGATTAAAAGTAAAAATTAAATATAACATTTAAACATTTTCAAAACTGGATAACCTACACCAGCCTTTAGGTTTGTTGAATGTTCATTTCTCACTGGAGTTTTAGTAATTTTTCGAGCACTGAAATAGAGAAAAAAAAATTAAGGAATAAAATCGCCAAAATTCATGAAACAAATTTTTTGTACAGAATGCTCATGTTCATAAACAAGTCCATTTAAATTATAAATCGAAAATATGTATTTCAATATATAATCAGTCGTAGAGATAAATGAACATGGATATTACACCATATTTTGCAGGAAATCAATAAAAAAAAGATGAAGCATCTAATTAAAAATTAAAAAATTTCAGAAATAAAATAAAAATATTATACCCAAAATCTTTAGCCATATTATTGCAAGTTCTTATGGGAGTACAAGGCAATTTTGAAGATTCTCCAAGCACACTTATAGGTGTTTTGGGAGTCGAAGGACAAGGACAACAATGACTCCGTAATTCCATACCTTTCTAAACATTGTTAATAGCAAAAATTTCCCCATGAAAATTAAAATTAAATTAACTATTTATGAACCATCAAAAAAATCAATTTAGGTCAAACTATCCAGAAAAATAAATAGCTGATGAACGAAAAATTATTAATAAAATGAGTAAAATAACATACAGAACGGTGTGCTGGAATTTGATGAACAGATGTTTCGGATAATTCACTGAATGACAAATAACATAAGAATAACATAAGAATACGAAGTGAAACGTATATATCAGAATAACACATGGTTTCAATAATGATTTAAACAATAATTTGAATAATTTTACTTGTCCATAACTTCTTCTACCTTACCTACCTATATGCGAATGAAAATATATTTGTACTTGGAGTTATTTTAAATCTATGCCATAATGCATAAAAGGTGGACTGGAAAAGAACTGGAAAAAAAGATTATACTTTTTTGTGCCATCAGCTTCATCAATTGGTTTACTTTTTAAATCAATTGCTGATAATTCCTCTACGAATGCTCCAATCCGAGCTGCAACTTTAACCGTTCTATTCTGTCGTTTAGGCGTTTTCGGTAATACCCTTTTTCCACTACTAAAAGAAAAAAATGGAGTTTCGAACGAAATAAAATAGTTAACAGAAATAAAGTTATTCAAATAAATAATTTTAAAGTTAAACAAATGAAAATTTCGAACCAATCTCGAATAATCAATTTAGCTTTTTCCTTCTGATAAAGCACATATTCTAAAATTCCGTTCAGTGGATGAATAAATTTATTACAAATTTTCACCGTCGTACCTGCATCTACTGTACAAAAGTTGATCCTGAAAATTTCAGAATATTAATTTTGAACAGACTTAAATTAAATCAATTAAAAATTAATAATTATATGCTTAAAATAATTTAAATAAATAATCATGAATTTCACCGTGAAATTATTTTTCTTATAACAAATATTTCCAACTAAACTTTACAATAAACGATAAATTTAGCAAACGATTTAAAAAAGGCAAGTAATTTAAAGAAATTAAAGATTCCAAGAACCCAAAAAAATGAAAAAAATTACGTCTGACTGGCGAGGATTTTCTCAGCCATCGAATTTCCTAATTTATGAACAATTTTGTTTTCTTTCACCATTTTAATTCTGAAATGAAATAAGCGTTCAAAAAAAATTTCGCCAATAAATGGATACTTTTTACAAAAAAATCCGTGAAACACGATGAATAGCGAAAAAAAATTTATGAGAATTGAATAAATTCTGCAAAATAATTTTGCTGAAATAAAAGAAAATTAATACAAAATTTTTTAATTACTTTAAAATGAATTTTTATTTTGCAGCGGCAAAGCGAAGGAAAACTCGCGAAATCTAAAATGCAGCCGGGAACTGCCAATGAGATTCGCCGTTTAAAACGCCCCTTGCGAATGCAAATCTGAGACTTTTTATTTTCGATTTTCGTCGTGAAATATATTTTGGAATGAATATTTTTAATAATGAAAAACACGCTTTGTAAAAGCGTAAAAAAGTTTTCAAATCGATAAATAATAACAATTTAAAAATTATAAAAGAAAGAAAAAGGCGCCAATGATTTTTCTGAACTTAAGCGAAAATAACGAATTAATTTTCAAGAATTCCCTCGCTATTTGACTAACCGAGTGACCGAGACAAATCACCGAAACGATTCTAAAATAATAAAAATGGCTGAAACAATTAAAACCCACCGCACTCATCTCAGTCAAACAATAAAACCATTTTCGAATCTTCGGCACTCTAAAATGCAGACTCCGTTTCCGGCTAGCTAAAATGCAGTCGCGGCTTCTACACTTTTTATCGTTCTCGTAGTTCCTCGTCACTTTCAAACAGGTTCAGGTGCCCAGGTTGTTTTTTTATTTCTCTTGGCCTTAAAAATTGTCTCTTTTGTTTTCGTGGTGCCAGGAATACCTTTTTTTTCGAAATATTCAAGTCGTTTATGATTATGATTAGTTATTTGAATATTTCATATTAGTTTTTTTTTTCAAATCAGTACTTATGATTGCTTATTTATTTCGGACTGTAAATCCGGGCACATGTATTCTGATTTAGCGGGTTCCGCTGGTTTTCTTAGTTATAAAATTAATGGAAGTCAATGATTCCGAAGAGAGGAAATTATAATAATTTATTCCGCTTAAATATTTATTTTGGTTTAAAAAACATGAATGAACTTTGCACAAATTTTGCCTCCAAATATTTTCCTTTTCCATTTAATAATTTTTTAAAATTCGTGTTTGACACACACACGAACATCGCAAATTAGACGAAGTAGGTTGAGTGAAGAATGGAAAATTGAAGGAAGAAAAAGGGAAGGAAGGAAAAGATGTGAAATGGAGCGGAAAGAAAAAGGACGAAAGAAGGAATTAATATGAGAAGAGAGTTGTTAGTCATCTCGATGACACCTTTTATGACCGGCGATCGTTGGGAATAAATTTTTTTTCTACTTTTTTACGGTTTTGATGTTTTTTTATCTTTTTGGCATTGTTTCTTAAAGAAAAAATAATGAAATGGATTGCAGGATGGATTTCCAGAATCGAGCTGGAGGTAAAACTGGTGGAGGTGGTGTTGCTTCATGGTCAGATGCCAATGTTGATCGACGTGAAAGATTAAGGCAACTTGCTTTAGAAACAATCGATTTGCAAAAAGATCCATATTTTATGAAAAATCATCTTGGTGGATACGAATGCAAACTTTGTCTTACACTTCATAATAACGAAGGTTCGATTGAGATAATTCATTGACCCCTTACTAATTTCTTTTTTTGTTAATTGTTAATGCAATCAATTCTTATTTTTTTCTTTATATAATTTCGTAAATTCTCAAGTAATTTATCACAATTCAGGATCATATCTTGCTCATACACAAGGTAAAAAGCATCAGGCGAATCTTGCTCGGCGAGCAGCGAAAGAAGCGAGTGACATGCCTTACATGCCTACACCTCAGCAAGTTAAAATCGAACCTAAGAAATTCGTCAAAATTGGTCGACCTGGCTATAAAGTTTGTGATTGTTAAGTTTATAATAGATATGACCAAAGGTGTATTTTATTCATTTATAATATTTTTCTGTTTTCTCAGAGAGATTTTCTTGTTTCATCAAATTTATGAAGTGGGTGAGTTGAATAATTAATTAAATGATTACAATGAATTGGATGAATTATAAATTTGAAATGATGAGTTTCAAGGGAATTGAAAATAAATGAAATATTCTGCACAAAAGTTCTTTTTCCTTTATTTTATTTTTCATTTAAAATTTATTTTTTTATTTAGGTTACAAAAGAACGCGACCCAGCTACAGGGCAACAAGCTCTTCTTTTTCAAATTGATTACCCAGAAATAGCCGAAGGTATCACTCCTCGCCATCGGTAAGCTGCAATCATACATTAACCCTTATTACGAATTTTTTTTTTTAAGAGTACTCATCATTACTGGTTAAACTCGCTCAACTGGCTTGTCGTATTGGGCCAGGAAGTCTATTGAAGAACTGGCGATAGAAATACAGGTGAGCAGCATCACCCGGATTTTTGTACAGGTTTATTCCTGCGGAGAATCGAACATCGGCGCTTCCAATTGAGCAACAACCCACTGAGCCATTTGTTTCGATATTTTTTAAATTAACCTGTACTTTTCACATTTCATATTTCATTTTATTGTTATTCATCCAACTTTTTTTTTCCGATTTATGTCAGCTTATGAGCAAAAAGTACAGCCTCCAGATAAAAGATGGCAGTACGTTTTGTTTGCAGCAGAACCATATGAAACAATTGCTTTTAAAATTCCTTCAAGAGAAGTTGACAAAAGTGAAGAAAAATTTTGGACAATGTGGAATAAAGACACGAAACAAGTAAAAATTTTTTAGAATGTTTTATTCATATTTTAACTACCAGTAAGTTATATAATATACGACTGTTATATTTTCATTTAAAGTTTTGTTGTTTTATTGTTTTTATATTTTTTCAGTTCTTCATGCAATTCGCGTTTCGAAGTGATCGTAGCTTACATGACGAAATGTTACCACCTCCACCTGGCTCAATGCTCCCACGTCCTGGCGCCGTACCACCACCCATGTTTTTACCTCCACCTTTCTAATTTCTCTTATCTTTTTTTGTTCTCATTTTCTTTGTTTTCTTGTGCATAAAATTTTACATAAAATTCTTTCAGTGGCATGGAAAATCATTTCCTATCGTCTCTACCATACAATTTAGCTATTTAATATCAAAATATTTACTTCCCATCAAGTTATGTACACGATTTATATCAAGTAATGAATTCCGTCATCAGGTCGTAATTATTGTCGAATTACAGGTCCTCGACATCACCAGATTTTACATTTAATGATAGGTTCATTCCTAAGAAATACCAAACATATGTATGTATGATGACCTTAATCGAAGAAAGATACCATTCGACCATCACGATCCCAGTTAAATGATTTTGTAAAGTGTAATGACTTAAAATTGCTCGATAATATTTATACAAGACAAACGAATTGTCAGAACAAAATAAAATGCACATATAACATGGTTCTTTAAGAAAGTAAATATAAAAAATAGTATATTACGGAGGATTCCTTTACCTTTGAGGGCTCATTTTTACCAAGTGCTTTTAACTTTTCGAACGCATTTAAATTTTTTATATCTAATAAATCAAAATTGAACCATCTACATTGTATTCTGATTCATGAACGGCAAGCCAAATCCGAAAGTACTGGATGATGAAGGTTCATCTGATGTCAGCTGATTACTGCTAATTACTTTGGAAGTCGGAGAGGGAAGATTGGCAGGATCTTCAAGAACAATAGGTGCCAATGTTGGATCCATCATTGAACTCATCCACCGTGAAGTTAGTAAACTAACGCCTTCAATCATTGCCAATATCATTGAACCAACAATGGCTGAACCAAGCATCATCTAAAATAAAATTTGGTAATTGCCTGGAAAAAAAATTTATACATATTCTAAAAAAATCCATGCACCTTAGGACCTGATCGAACAGCAAGAAATGCACCCGTAAGACCACCAGACACTATAGAATTAATAGGATCTTCCTAAAAAAAAATGTAATTTATCAGCAGTGTAATTTGTGTAATTTAAATAAGAATATGAAAGCAAAGAATTTACCGGACAATCAATGTAAATCAAAGAAAAAGAAATAAATTTTTTAGATCTTGCACAAAAAAATTGTGTCTCTTATCTATTAATTTTTTTCTAAAAGCTAATCACCATATAAGGCTTATTTCGCTGGTTTGTCGGGCAAGACAAACTTTTTCCAAGGAGTCATGGCGATAAAAGTACTATTCAAGCAATATTACGAGTAGTACCACACATATTATAGGTCTAGTCCTGCCAAGAATAAGACCCTAGTAGCGATATTCCACGAGATAGTAACACTACATATTATCTTATTAATAAAAAATTATCTGCAATTAAAATTACCTTCTTCCTTAAAGCAACAAGTGTGCAATCGATTGCGCTAAACATACCGCCCCAAGCTGCGAATTGAACTCCAGTTAGTGGTGCACGAGATCTCACCTCAAATATAAGGAGATATCAAATATAACGAGAAAAATATTATTACCTGAATGTCCTTAAAAATATTTGCAGAAGAATCCTCAATCGTCTAGAATACCTCACGAAATATTCCTCGAAGTTTCTGCCCTCTTGGCGAATTTTTATATCCACTGTAAGACTGAAAAATCGAACCACCAATAAGACCAAGAGCGTAAGCTCCTCCAACATCATCGCCAATCCGATATGGACTGAAAAATTTGCCAAAAATATGGTAGTTTTCAAGAAAATGTAAAAAATATTAAATCCCTAATTTCAAATCTTTTTCAACTGCAACATTTTTTTACCAGTATCCCTAGAACTTCTTTATGGTTTTTAATTTCGCTGTATTCTTCTTTTGCTACTCGAACATATAGCCAAAATTCTATTATGTCCTTTTGCTACTCAGCACTACCCCCAAAAAACCTATATTGTCCGCGAAATACCGGTCCACAACGTTAAGCATTTGATATCCTCTAAAACTGATCATATTTTACAACCTTACCAAATATTGTTAGACATTCCATTAACCCCAAAACCATTCTGCATTCATTTGCCATAATCCATTTATAAAGGACTCCTTTACTCCTTAAACTCCTTTTCGCATTAATCCTCTCAGAACCAGTAATAAACCCTTAACACCGCTCATCCGCATTTTATAATGATCTTTTAAACTTCGCATCTAAAGCAACTATAAAATTGCAAAGGGTAGCAAGGTAGTAGCTGGGGATTATAATATAATATATTATAATAGAAGAATATGACAAATAAGAAGCGCATTGTTTGCATTTAATAGGTGAAAATAATGCTGCAGAATCCGAAAGCGTGTTACGAGTTTTTTCCGTGGATTTTGGGATATTTCGATGTAAGTAAGTCAAGGATTCTGCTTAACCGCAGAATGGCTCTTTCTGCAACTGCATTCAGCACTTTACAATGCGAAGCAATAAGAATTCAAACCACGGTTCGCGACCATATTCATCCATTATTCACCTGATTTGGCAATCTTTTTTTGCGAATATTTTACAAGTTGCAAACGATTACAAGAGCTGTCACTTCCTGGAATATTTTCTCAAAATTAAGATTTTCCTTACGCTGTAAAATGTTTTCGTGAAACTGACTAGAAGCATTTCATACGATCACGATAAACCGAAAACTAATTCTTCGATGAATACGAATTACGCTGACTTATTCCCTACTCGATTGCCACATTTTTAGAAAGCTCGATTTACAAAACAAATTGAGTTAAACATCTGACCTCAGTGATACTTTCAATTTGTCGAAACCCTGGCTAAATTACATTAAAATACTAAAAGATGACGAAGCGAGGAACTGAAAAAACCAAATTAATGGCAATTTTACTGAGAACTGCATTTCCAATAACAAGTGGGAGTGATATAGGCGACAAATCTGAGTGATAACTGATAAGGCCAACACGAACAGAACCACCGCCTCCCACCCCCTCCCCCCAAGAAATTTAGCGAATATTCCATGTTAAAAGGCGAAAGCGAATTTGAAACAATCGTTGTCGGATGTTTTGACAATTTAGTAGCTCCTTTCCTACTTTAAACATTAGTTTAATTTAATTATGGCCCAGCAGTTTATTTTCCATTGAGCGAGGTCGTTTGACCTTTTGTAGCACTTAGGCACCTCGGCGAATTGCGTGTGATCTTTCTTTTGTTGCAGTTTTTGTTTTTATTGCTGGTTTATTTCAACAAAGGGAATAAATATTTCCTCTTGTTGAAGGAATGCAACGAGTGCTCTGAAATTTTGATCTAAAGAGAGGATCAATTGATCGGTTTCTTCAGTTTCGGCTGATAAGGAATTTACTCTTTCCGGCTGATAAGGACCTATCTTATCAACACTTAGCCTGGTTTTACTGCTTGCCTGATCGTGCTTTTTCTCCATTCTGTGCTCACTTTAACCTTCGTCAGTCCTTCAGAAAATTCGATTAAAGCATTTGCAGTCATTGAGTGGTAAGCGTTTCTTATCGATTTTATGTTTAACTTTTTTTGTCCCAGAAATTTTCATTGAATTATTATTCATTTACTTCCATCCCATTCGTTATATTTGCAGCCTCCAAATTATATTCTCCGCGCAGTTTTTACTGTAAAATATCGCTCGGGCCACGTTATTTTAAGTGGAGAGATGAATGGGCCGCGAAAGCGAGCTGCGGAACCATCTGACTTTTTTTACTTTTTGTCTGATTTGCGTTCATTGCGTGCTTTGTTCATTAAATCAGTTATATAGTATTAAGAAAGCCATAATGTGTTGATTTATCGAATAAGAATTTCGTTGTTTTCGAGCTATTCGTATTCTTTCACGTTTTTTCACGCGGTTGCGTGAAAGTGACGTATTTCAACTTATTTCAAATGACATGAAAAGGAATTGACTGACCGTACGTCGGTTTTATTTCTCTAAGTATCATTTATTTTTTTTTAAATTTATTTATTTATTGGTTTTTATGTAAAGTTTCCTTTTTTTTTCACGTAGAAAATATTCAATTAATCAGTTGAAAAACTTAGTTCAAAAAAAACTTTTTTCTGGTGACGATAGATGGCAACAGTGAACAATACGCGATGGGTAATCACGGAAGCGGAGCAGCGACAGAATGAAATTCAGTTTGCGACATTATCACCGGTTAATGGACTTGTTTCTGGCGAACAAGTTCGACCATTTTTTATGAAATCCGGCTTATCGCCCGCTATACTTGCACAGATATGGCAGTTAGCTGATTATACGAAAGTTTGCTTTTCCAATTCAATGATTTGTTTTGGTCTACTATTATAAAGCACTTTGGTTCCACGTTGTCTCCATATTTTTTTTCTCTCTTATCACCTACCATTTCATTATCATCCTTTCCAATTACTATAACTACAATGTTTCCCCATCAACAGTTTGTTTCATATTATTGCCATTTCTTTACTAATAAATGAGACTTACCACCGGAAGTGAAAATTGAGAGCTTGCTATCAAGCCAATAAAATTTGATAAATTTTTTTGTAGTTCTTCATGGCGTAAGTTTAATGTTATTTAAATTCGAGAGGCTATAAATCGACATACATCAATTATCATATTCAATATCGTTTTTCCCTCTTAGTGAATACCGAAAAAATTGGATATTATTTTTGAAAATTTTGGCTTTTCAAAAATTTGTTTTATTTTAATTTTGAATTTTGAATTTTAAAACTTTTATTGGAAGTGTTTCTTTCAAAATTTAGTTTAATAATTTAATTTAAATTCGAGAGGCTATAAATCGACATACATCAATTATCATATAATTAAATTTAACTAAATTTGAGGATGGAAAAATGGATCGTTATGAATTTTCAATAGCAATGCACTTAATTCGAGCAGTATTAGGTGGCGAAAATCTTCCTACCATACTTCCTCAATCGCTTAAGGTATATTTTTCATTATAACTTTTCTTATCATTTAATCGTTTATTGTTATTTTTATCGTTTAATTAATGTTTTATAAATTAATTAAATATTTTATGAATTTAATTTTTTAGTAGTTTAACAATAAAGCAATTATTTTATATTTTTTAGCCTTCTATATTAACTTTACCTGCCATATCATCTTCATATGTTCATGGTATTCCACCTCACTTACCAGCTAGTTTCCCTCCTACATCTGCGATGCAAGTTGGAATGCCTGGTCCAATCATAGGACCGCAACCAGTTTCATCATTTCCAGTAACTGGTAAGACTCGAGATGATTGGACGATTCCACAAAACAATAAACTTAGATACTGCCAACAATTTAACCAGCTTGATAAAAATAGAATTGGTTTCCTCAGCGGAGTACATGCAAGGTTTCTCTTTTCTATTTTTATTCTGCTTTCTTTAAGGATGATTTTGCCAATTTTTAGTGCAAGTCTAATAATAGTCTAATTTTGCAAATTAATATTTCTAAGTTTTTGCAGAAATATAATGGCTCAAAGTCAGCTACCAAATCCGATTTTAGCTGAAATATGGACGCTCTCTGATGTTAACAAAGATGGCCGTTTAAGCGTTGATGAATTTTGCATAGCCTTGCATCTAATTGAATCCATCAAAGTAATGTTCATAAATTTGTTGCGAAAAAAAAATTTGTTGCACTATTATCTTTTTAACGTTTTTAATTAATATTTTCTCTTAACTTCAATCTCAAATTGAACTGAATTTCAGGCTGGTTTTCAGTTGCCAAAAACTCTTCCACAGGAATTATTATCACTTTGTATTAGATCAAAAACTGAATCACCAGTGCTTGAACCAGGTGCTCCTCCTGCTCAGAAAACTCCCATTCCTAAAACATTTGAAGATAGGCGTCGTGATAATTATGATAAGGGTCAGGCCGAGCTTGATCGGCGACGGCAATTGTTGAAGGAGGAGGTACATGCTTATGATTAGCAAATGGTTTCTTTATCAATAATAAATTAGCCAGTTTTTATAAATTAAAGTATAATTATTTTTTAATCATTTTAATCGGAAATAACCAGTTTTGTCCACAGTTTCAAATTCTTTGACATATGTCCCTTCTCGCAAATTAATTTGTTGTTCTTAAGGAAGAACGACGTCGGGTGGAAGTTGAAAAACGAGAGAAAGAGGAAGCGATCAGACGAGAACGAGAAAGGGAAGAAGTAGAGAGAAGACGCCGTGAGGAACGAGAAGCTGAATTAGCTCGTGAAAAAGAACGCGAAATTGCTCGTTTAGCTGAAGAACGACGTCTAATGGCAGAAAAAGAAGAAGCAAGAAAAGAAATGGAAAGACAGCGTAAAGCTGACTTGGAAGCAATTCGCATTCGTGAAATTCAGGTTTATTTATTTTCAAGAGTAAATTATCAATTTTTGAAAAATTTTTGTATCATATGTATATCATATATCAATTTTTCGCAAATATTTTTGTCATTTTTTAAGATGCATTTCCAAACTGAAAAAGAAAATACAATAGATCGACAACAGAAACAAAAAACTCTTACTTTTCAACTTCAAGCACTCGATGAAAAATCTATTGATTTGAATTCAAAAATTACTATGGTTAGTTCCGACTGTGTATTTTTATATCATTATTGTCCCCATTTTTTTCATTTCATTCTTTTTAGCTATTTCATTGCAAAAATCTGTTGTATTATTTTAGATTTGCCTTCGAGCGTTGTTTCTTTATTTTATCTTATATTTTTTGCTTAGATTAAATTGTCGCATGAAATATGCTCCATTTATTTCGTTTTTGTTGTACGATTGTTTATTGTACAATTATTACCCACTGGTAATATTTTGCAGGCACGGAATCGAATTGTTGAAATAACAAATGAAATTGAGAAAATGAAAGCAAAGAGGGATGAAAAAGTAGCAAGGATAAATGAATATAAAATAAAAAATAATCAGGTTTACTTTATTTTACTTAATTCAAACCTTATTTTTCTTCTAACAGCTCTCACCATTACTGGTTAGGCTGGCTGCAAGGGTTACAAGGGTAAAACACTTCCAAGCGGCGCGTCTGATGCCATCGTGAATAATAATAGAAACCATTCCTTTTTCCATCGTCTAAATCCATATATTGCTGGTCCGACTATAGGTTCAAAATCTTTCCTGGCCATGTCAATCCAGGTCTTGACTAGCTTTCCTCGCTTTTGACGCCATTCATCACAGAGTACAGTAAGTAACGAAATATATGATCATGTGGTGGACAACGGAGAACGCCCTAGCCATCGAAGGAATTGAATCAAAAGCAACTGCATAGTCGATGAAATATGTGGGTCGCAGATAAAGGGAAGCAAAAATTTACGCTGAGACGTCTAGTAGGCTAATTCCTCGATTGTCGCAATATGTCCTTTTGAGTCTGGTAATATTTCTTTTTTCCATACTATAGTGTATATTTGCTGAAGGTGCTTTATGAAGAACGATGGATAAATTTGAAGAGTTCAGCCCGAAGACCATCTTCTCCCGGAGTCTTATTGCTCTAAGCTTATGGATAACAGGGATTTTTTCTTCTTTTGTTGAAGGCTTACAATTGCAAGCGTGTGGTTCGGCGAATATATCAACTATATTAGGAGCAACAGATGGCGCTTCATGGTTAAGTTTGGTCTCAAAGAATTCTTTCCATCTGGAGGTGGTGGTCCTTAATACTCTTAACCGGAACGCCATTGCTGTCCCATTTCACTGATCGTTTTCTGAGTTATGAAGAAGGCGAATTAATTTCTATTATCGCCTAATTGGGCCCCCGTCTCCATTCTCCAGGTCACTCTAATAGTGATTTCTGTTACGCCATGTTGCTGTCGTTGCAAATATTCGAAGCATCCAGTAGTCATGCTTTGGCAATTTTTCAGACAGTTGGACAGCTGCTTACCAACTAGCACATTTCCTACTAGTATGTCCTAAGCATGGAAGTGGCGATTTTTCGGAGACATTCCTTTAGTTTGTACCAGTATTCATTTACCGTTCCAGAAAACTAATAATTGATAATTGAGATGATTCAATTCAATTCAATAATTGAGATGCGCTTATTGTCCCCTAATTTGAGATGTTCGAAGAATCTTGGGATGCTGTTTTTTGTGAGTTGTCAATTTAATGCGGATTTTGGCTCAGATCTATGAAGATTGCCCGTTTTTGCGCCACGATTGGAATGACTGTCTAGTACGCAATTCTTCGAGTGGCGACTGACTAAGATATAATCAACCTGGTTAAAATGTTGGTTATTCGAGGATTTCCACGTGATTAGGTATTTTTTAAGATGTCGGTATTAGTAGGTAAATATTAGTAACAAAAATTTCATGCTCTTCGGCATAATGAAGGCGTTCTTCATTGGTGCGCCGATCTTCGATGCCATATTTGCCAATTGTTGTCATCGCAGCAGCATTATGATATACGCAAGCATTCCAGTCTTCCCCGATTATGACCATGTCATATTTCGGTAGAAATTTTATTAACAGTTGAAGTTCCGCGTAGAAATTATCTTTATCATTTGCCGACAAAATTAAGTCATAAACATTGATGACCTTTAAAGCGGGCATTGGTAATACCGTTCGCTTACCGTTTTCCACTCAATCAAAGCGGAATGGGCCATGGACCTTTTTATGACAGTTATTAATTATTCGAGACCCACAGTGAGGAAGACGGACCTCCGACAAGCAGGCGATATCCACACGATATTTAGGAAGGGTGTGGACGGTGATCGCTTGGCTTGCAACGTTTATAAGTGTTCTGACGTTCCACGCTGATACGGCTAGTACCTCGCCGCGTGTGCAGGCCTCTTGATAGGTTTCGAGCAATTACTCTGACTGATGAGCATATTTTATTTATCATTCTTGGGATCGTTTTACGCTCGCATTGTATATCACATATACCACCGGGCTGGGAATATTATGCGTGCTGAAAAACGCGGACGCCGTATCAAAAATATCTGACCCCTTTCACCATAGAGTCAATTCAAATTTAATTTACCTAATTTTACTAGATTCATTTAATCATGGTTCTACAGTTTCTGTTGAACATCGGCAGTTATACCTATCAGTATTATTACCATGCAGTTATTTCTAGATAAGTATCCAGTGCGAACGGCTTGCTCATGAAAGTCTTCAGACACAGACGGAGTGTCGTACAGCTGTCGGTCGTGCTAAAGAGCTTGTTGAACTTCAATCACGGATGCGATCTATATGCGAAGAGATTGAAAGGTTACATTCGCAAGTGCGCAGTGCAGATGATCGAGTCAGTTTGCAGGAGCAGCTCGTTTCCAAGGTTTTCGCCGTGAAAATTATTAGATTGTAAATTTGGTTATTGATTATAAATGATTATTAGAAAATGGAAGTGATTAAATGATTATTAGGAAAACTCGAACTTATGAATAAGAAAAATGAAAAAGAAAAAATTAAGAAATGAGAACAAGAAGAAGGAAAAGGAAGAACAAGGATAAATATGGATAAATAAGATGGAAAAATGGTATGGTACATGCAGCTTATTAAAATTATGGTTTTATTATTATGAAAAGTATTCAACTAGATCTTTTTTCAGAAAAAATTAGAATCAGATGAATATTTCTCAAAAATTTCGCAAGCACAAATGCTTTATTCGCAACTGTACAATCATGTCAGTCTTCTTCAAAATCAAGCTGGCGAATTTATACGCAAAGCAAAAACTAAGATTGAAAATAATATTGGTATTTCTTCTAAAGCATTAACTCTGAATTCGCCATCTGGTTCAGTAACCTCAGGTTAATATAGATAAATAAATCATTAGATTAGATTAGATAAATAAACGAAGATTACCAAATTTTTATTTACACTTTTGAAATTCGTGCTTATATTTTATTTATACTTTTGGATTTGTTACATATTTTTTGCAGACCTTTTCATAGAATTCTGATTCTTTTATTCACATATTTGCTCAAATTGTAGACAATGTTTAATTTAGCGATTTCGTTAAATCAAGATGGCACAGAAGCGATTAATGGATTACCGGTTGCTAAAGGAGCTGCTGGCACTGTGAAATATCGTGCTTTATATGAATTCAATGCAAGAACTGGTATATAACTATAAAATCAAATGTTTCATTTTACTTGAAATTACTACCATTTCTTGTGGTTTCAGATGATGAGTTGAGTTTCCAGCCTGGTGATGTGATTCTTGTATTTGAGTGCCATACTGCAGAGCCTGGTTGGCTAGCTGGTCAGATGCGTGATAAGGTAGGTTGGTTCCCAATGGCTTTTGCTGAACCAATTGCTCCAGCTGCGGCAAATATAACGTCTACGCAGGTTTTTTTTTGTTGCTAAGCGCAGTTCGTAAAAAAAGTTGCCATTTAAATTCATTTTTCTTGCAGCCAGCACAGACTGCTTCTTCTTTACCAACTTCACCTTCTAGCGAACCGCTTCAATCAATAAAAGAAGAGCCAGCAGCTCCCATATGTAAATCTTCATCTTATGATTTAGAGACTCTAAACAAAGGTGAATTTTTTAAATATAATATAGCTGAACGAAAATAAATTCAGTTCAGTTTTGATGAATCAGAATTTTTTTATTTTTCGAAATCTTTAGAGAACAACAGTGATGTTCCTAAAAAAAAAGATAGTGAACAAGTAAATGCAATAATTGGCACAGCAGTAGCTCAATATCAATGGAAAGCAAGAAATGATGCCGAACTTAGCTTCTCAAAAGGTGATACGATTGAAATTATCGAACAGCTGGATATGCGTTGGAAGGTTATCAAATTTCATTGATTTGTTTAATATTTTTATTTTTTATCATTCTCAAATATTGTTTCAAATTATTCAAATATTTCAAATTATTCAAATATTGTTTTATTATTTATATTGATATTCTTTTATTGATATATTCTAAAAAGATTTAAAATTTTTTTTTATTGGAAATGGAAGAGCATCTTATGAGAATTACTTAATTATTTGTTGCGAATTGCGAAGCTTCTCCCTGTTTCAGGGAAGAAATCCCTCAGGAGCAATTGGGTGGTTTCCGAAATCGTACGTCAAGATGATCGCCAGTACAAATGAAAGCATTTTATCAAAACAAGCTTCTAAACCTGATGCTGTGGAAGCAAATATGTCCGAATCTAGGAGTTCTTCGTCAATTGCTATTTCTACTTCTGTTCCCGTTTATGACACTGTTAACGGTGAAATGTTAATTGTTCTTTTTTTAAAGTTAATAAACGAGAAATGGACGAGATTAATCAATTAATTTTCTTATAAGTCATCTTCGCATCTTTATACTTAATTTTTTTCTATCTGGATCAGAATTTTTTTGGATATTTGAATTGAAATCAAAGTTTTCCAAATCTGAACATAGTTATGTTTACAGCAGAACCAGCGCAAATGACTGATGAGTGGTGTATTGCAATGTATGATTTTCAAGCATCAGAAGCAACGGATTTGGAGCTTAAGGCAGGTGATCGTATATTGATCATTGAAGCTGTTGACGATTGGTGGAAAGGAACTTGTAATGGACGCACTGGAATATTCCCTGCGAATTACGTACAAAGATGTCCTTCATATAATGCAGTATCAGGTCCGTTTATTTTTTCTTTCATTGAATCCTTTTTCTTCATTGGAATCATTTTATTTAGATAGGATTTATATTTGGTTACTTCTGTTTTTAGTTTTTTCAGGAAGCGTTACTGATTTTGAAACTGGTAAAGTTGTTGCAAATTTTGAAGCTACTGCTGACAATCAACTCTCGCTTCATGTTGGAGAGTTGGTTCGAATTCAAAGCAAATCTCCGGCTGGTTGGTGGCAAGGAGAGGTATAATTTTTTTTTTAAACAATATTTAATTTGAATTTGCCTTTCTTGTTGATCGAATTGCTTTCTCGCTACTTTCTAATACGGCATTAACCATTTTAGCTTGTAACTAACGATGGAACAAAGAAAGTTGGATGGTTTCCTGGTGATTACGTCGAAATAATCCAACAGAATATGTTAGTTGTCGAAGCACTTTATGAATATAGCGCACAAAGAGACGATGAGTTATCGTTTAAAGTAGGTGATTTAATTATGGTTACTGATCGAAGTGATAATGAATGGTGGAAAGGCAAACTACAGCGAACTCCTAATAGTCCTGATGCTCTTTTTCCAGCTCGTTTTGTACGTATTCAAGAAGCATGATCTTGTGGACTAAATCTTAATTAGTCTAAAATTTTTAGAAGTCGTTTTTATTAGTTGGAAAATTCTGCTAGTTAAATTAATTTATATTTTCTTATTTCACTTTTTTGTATTTATTTCTTATCTTTTCATTGCTAATTTTGTCGTTCTTATTGTCTTAAAAATTTATTCTTCCTGTTCGATCTGCAGAGGTTGAAAATTCATGAAGTTTTTTGTAAGATGATTTTGTAATTATTTGGAAAATTTCTCAAGAATTTTTTTGAAAATTTTCAATTATCAAGATAATTAAATTCATTGAATATAAGTTTTATATAACTTAATAAGTTTACTGAACCAAAAAAAAATTTACAAATGAATAAAATGATGTTTGGGACATTTTTGTATCAGTGAAAATATTTTTAGGTTTTTAGGAATTTTATTTCTATATTGTAATTTATTTTTTAAAAATTAACCAGTACTACACGTCAGTGATGAATCTCATTTAATTTTTCTACGTAGCAAATGCTTTTAAAATCTTTCTACTTATTTCATTTATGATTTTATGATCAGTTTGGTTTAAATTTTTTTTTTTTAATTAGATTTGTTTTTCTTATTTTTTCACGTGGTTTATTTTATTCATTTGAATTGAAAATTGAATTTGGAGGAATATGGAAGATAGATAGAATTTTTGCATTCGCATCGTTTCCAGCTTATTTTTTACTTATTTATTGCCATTTTTTTTATTTTTTTGCCTCCATTAATTTTGTAAAATTTTCATGCGAAAGATTTTATTTATAAATTCATTACCTTGAATGAAATGAAAGAGGCGTGGGTGATTCAGAAATAAATTTACAACATTTCTTGGAAAATAATTTGCCAATTTTCCTTCAATTCATTCGAATTAATAAATTTTGCTTCAGTTGTGTTTGTGGATAAAATGTAAAATCTTGTAAATTGGCGTTAGTTATTTGTAATACTTAAATATTCTTGTCGTAGAGACTTATTATTGTTATTCTGTGCAAAATCAGTAAATATGAAAAAAAAGATTATAATTCTTTGCCTGAATGTTGATATTAATTATGCGAGTTGTTATTCTGATTAATTCTGGTTAATCCGATTAAAGTATTTTGTATTTAGTATTACGGAATATACACGGAAGCAATCAAATGAAAAAAGACGTGAGATTAACGAATTTTCCGAACAAGGTTCTTTAACCGAACATTCCAGTACCAACTCAAGGCTTCACAAACTAACTGAGGTATTCCCTGAACTAGTTTTTATATATATATATGCGATCCCTTATATATCGAAATGAGAAGAATAGCTAGTGATTGAACAGAAAATAACTATAGCATTTGATAAATAACAAAAAACAGTTTGAGTAAAGCCTTCTATTGGCAAAAGAAGTTGAAGAATTCGGATAACAAACATATGCAAATTCATTGGATTGAGCTTTGTTACTGATATTGCTAAATTTAAATAAATATTAAGTGGTTTCAGTGGTTCCTTTCTTCGGAGTTAAAGAAAAATATTAAATTTAAAACCAAATTTAAGGTTAAAGTTTAAATTTTATAGTGAAGGTTCGATTGAATTGGAAATCGATTCCATAAATGAATGTAATTTGAATCTGCGTTTATTTTCCATAAAATAATTATTATTGTTTAATTATTTATATTCTAAGGAACTTATTCAAAGCGAAATTCGTTTTCATCGAGACTTGACGGCAGTGCAGAAGGTTTTTGCGAATAATCTTATTCCAATCATCGGCTATGACATTGCAAAACAATTATTTTTGAATACCAGTACATTGATTGCAGTTTCGAAAGAAATGATTGAAGCATTACGTGATAGAAATCCTGGTTGGTACTCTTTTTATTTGAGAGCATCTGTGTCATCTTAATATCTATAACTGAATAGAAAAGATTTGGAATTTATGTTTTATTCTCTAATCATCGCTTAACTTAAAAATTAAAAAATTCTCTAAAATTGTATTTATTTAATTTTTTTGAACTTGGATTTAGGTGTTGTTTTTATGGAAAAAATTGACTTATTGCAAGGATTTGTACAATTCTGCTCGCAGCAACAATCAGCTCTTGAATTATTAAATAATCTCGAACAGAACAGTCCAATATTTCGAAAGGTTTAAATATTGTTTCTTAATGGTGACAAATTAAATTAACTGGAATATTTAAAGAAATAAAATTGATTAGAAGTTTATAAAATTTATATAAAATTGATAATTATTGTTAGACTTATCATCTTTGTTGTGAACGAAGTGGTGGGTTAAATCTCGGTTATCTGCTATTATTGCCTATGAGTCGAGTAACTCGTTATCCGTTAATTTTTGAGAAACTACTCAAATACACTTCAACGAAAAGTCCATATTACGAGGTAATTTTATATGGTTTTATATGGTTTAGGTTTATATGATTTAAATTTTTGAAAGCGATTTGATTTGAAATAGATGAGAATTCCATTTATCAATTGTTTATACTTCTTTAAACGTATGAATTCTTTCCACAGATTATCATTTTTAAATCTGACAAAAACTCTAAAAAATGGAATGTATCCTTTTATTCTTTTGCCTCATAGTTTTATTTATCCTTAATTTTATTGCCTTATCTTAATTTTGATATAACGATTGACTTCCCATTACTTTCTTAGATTTATTGATTATTCAAATTTAATTTGGAAAAAAAATAATTATTTATATTATTGATTTTAAGAGTATAGAAACAGCATATCAATTACTGAAAGGAATTTGCGCAGAAATGAACCATGAAATTACCGAATCAGAGAATGCGAGTATGCTTTTATGGTCTCAGCAATATATACGATGCGATTCTATGAGACTACCAATATTTTTTCCATCTTCAACGAGGTAGAATTTTCGAAATTATTTTAAATATTAAAAAAATATTAGCCCAGCAAATGATAAATATTATTATCAAGATTCCATTTAGAATACAAGATTTTTTTTATAAAATCATCAATTTTTGTTGACGAAAATTTTCAATGATTGTGGATTGACTTGAATATTGCTTCTTATAAATTTTTTGCATCTTTTGTAATTGTTGTAGAAAGGTTGGAAAGCGACAATTTCTTCATTCTGGTATTCTGTATAAACAAAGAAGCGGTAAATTACTGGTAGCCATGCTTTTCAATGATTTCCTAATATTTTGTATACCATCAGAAAATATTGAACAGGTTCCTTAAATTTTTCCATTGATCGCGTTCAACAAATCCTTATATCGGTCTCTATTTTATTTCTTTCCTTATATTTTTAACTATATTTTCATAAGTTATTAAAGTGTCCTGTAAGAATATTTCCTTTAAGAATATATAAGAATAAGAATATAATTCAGTTGCAGAGATACAGAATCAATTAGCCAGTTTTATTTATTAATTTTTACGGTTAAATTACGCGAATTATTGATTATTTTTCAGGTTGAAGGTTTTAAAATAACCAAAAATACGGAACTGGTGCTATATCTTTACAAATCACCTCTGATGATTGAAAATTTGCTGATCGTTCAGCAAAAAGATGACGATCAGTCAATAACGTTGAAAACTCGTAAGATCTCGCCATTGGTTTCTAAAAAAAATCTTTCTCTTATCTCCTGTGTGTCGAGTCCTCTACCGGAAGTCCAGGGGGATTGAGAGTTCTGCGGTTATCTTAGCTATTCCTAATTGTCATCCTAAATGAAAATTCCTTGATGTTGCTAGAATCTGTTGAAACTGCTCCTCAGGGGTCACAATTCCAAGTGCTTCAATTATCACTGGAATTACTCTGGCCTTCACATCTCTAGTCTCTTTTTCAACCTCTGGTATTTCTCTAACTTTTCATATTTCTTCTTTATATCATTTCTGTTTTAATATTGCTACCGATGCTAATTTTTGGTTTTTGTCTGCTGTCGATATCTGGTTGATTGGCCAGTGCTTATTTGTCTGTCTGGGTGGAAAAATCCCACAAGGCCTTCACCTTATTATTCTCCAAGAGAATCTAGATGGGGAATTTTCCATCTATTTTTAGGAGGATCTAAGCCATATATCATATAGATATTCCTGTATACAATACCAACCTTTCAGTGTATATGCTATTCCTAATTACATTTTACGTCGTGCCACTATGTGTTGGATTGTTTTTTGCGTTGTCTGCACCTGTTTAGTGTGTTAGACATGCTTCGATGGATAATGACCATTACTTCAATATTGCTTTTTTCCAGCTTTTTCCAACCACTGGTAGGATTTATCAATACTTCGCCTATCTATCAATGGTACAACTCATGGAATGTTTTGCTTTGCCATGGCATTTCTTCTATTTATTCTTTTTCCAATGTCTGTAGATGCTTCAGACATTCTTTCAGCAGCTTTGGTGCCATCTTTCTGATGTATTCCTGAATGCTTCGTTCAAGACAGTGGCTCACACTCATCCACCCTTTCTGGTTGGTGTATATTTTTTGAGTGTTAGACTTAGAATGGAAGTTTCCAGGCCTTCATATCGGTTTCCATGTCTTTCTTTTGTCGTTCTTAATATACCTTTAATATGCGTATCTGAATAAGAAATATATATTTATGGACTTGATTTTTTCCATTGGGATGATTCTTCAAGATCTTATTCTTTGGTAATACTTAGATGTTCTCTTTCTTGCATCCTCATCGTAGTTTCCATGTATTTGCGGGATCCTGAGGTATTTATAACTAGTCTTCATATCTTCTTCATGGCTCTGGTTGTCACTCCATCAGTCTCAAATGTTTTTCCTCTTTTTACTACCATCCGGCTACGATTCTTCAGTTCGAATGAGTCTCAATGTCCTTTCCATAGATTAGATGAATGAGCCAGCCATTGTCTCTTCCGCTGTTGGCGATAAATTAATGTCATCCGTGTAAAGAAGGTAGCTAATGGAAATTACACCCTTGAATTTATATCCATATCGAGATTATTTGGCCAAGAACTATGCCTAAGCACGAATGTTAGGAGATCCTGGTTAATGGATACTTCAAAGAATTACAACGACATCAGCACGGCAGAATAGAAATCGCTATTGGTGGTAGATGGCCTTGAGAATAGAGAAAGTGGCCCAAAGTCGATAATAGAAAACTATTCCCCCTTCTTCATAAGGCATCTATAAGTTGGGGAATAATCAATGAAATGGTGAGGGATGGCAATGCCTGTTAAAAATATTATGGATCGCTCGTAAGACACCATGATGCGCCATCTATTGCCTCGGACATGAATTGAATGAATTTCAGTGAAAAAAATCCATTTATTTGACTTTTTTAAATTGATCAATCTTTATTAAATTAAATTTATTAATTTGCTGATTCGTTCGTCGAACTATACGTTTGCAGTTTCGAACCACCTACAGAAAAGAGAATCTCCGTGCTGAATTCCTTAAATGTTGTCCATCGTTCTTCATAACGGATCATCAACAAATGTATTTTCTGGTATGAAAGGAAAGTATTACCAAATGACTGCAATAAAAAAATTCTGCTGCCAAGAAAGGTGCTAAGATATACTGCGACAGTTATTGAGGAATCAGCCTACTAGATGTCTCAGCGAAAATTTTTGCTTCCCTGTCACTCAACAGACTTATGGAACAGCAGGATGCGCCCAAATCAAGCTGGATTCAGACCGGGGTGCGGTTGTGCTGATCAGATATTCACGTTAAGAAGGGTGTTTGGAACATCGCTTCAGATATTTGCAACCCACTGTTTCTCGTATTTCATTGATTTCACTTTGCAGCTGTATTTAATTCATTTGATAGAACAGCCCTTTGGAGAGTGATGGAACGCCACGGTTTCCAAAGATCGTTGGTCTGATAAAATCAGCATAGCTCTATGTATATATGGGGAACTGACAAACTCTTTCGAATTAAGAATTGGTGTCGGTTAAAGCTGCGTGTTTTCCCCTACAGTTTTTATTAATATGATAAACTGGATAATGGATTGTTTTTCTGGACAACACGCATTCACTAGAAATTATTCCAGAGTATCGTATTTTAGATTTTGAATACACTGATGATGTAGTCCATTGCTGATAGTTATGACGAAATGGAAATAATGTGTCGACAACTGCAGTGAAACTCATGATCAATGACATAAATAAAATGAAAATCGTTTTGGTACGCCAGAAGCTGATAAAATGTCTATTTTTATCAATTCATTACCGGTTAAGGAAATACCATATTAAATACCTTAGATCCATTCTAATCCGAAACGGCCAGGCAAAAGGCGAAATTACAACTCGGATAACGTACTAGGAAATGCGTTCTTCTTCCGTTCTTCCGTTTGACAAAACCTTTATAGAGGCACCGCGAAATCATCGGCGGCGCCTATATAGTTGCGATTCGCTCAATATTGCTAGATAGATGGGAGATATGGCTAATGAGAGTGGAGAATAACCATTCATATCCAAGATATATTTTAAGGGGGTCAACTTCTATTGCTGTCGACGGTGGCATCAGATCTTGTAGCTTGGAAATGTCTTGCACTTGCAGCCAATGGAGCCAACTTAACCAGTAATAGTGAGAGCTATTGGAAGAAGTCCTATCGAGTTCTCAATTAAGATCCTTAAGATCCTTTATATATTCCGTTATCTTATCGGCTCATATATTACTACATTAATTTGACAAAGCAAGATAAATTACCAGCACTGATAAAAAACTTTAAAAGCAGGAAAAATAAAATAAAAATGAATGCTGGTTGATTTTTTTGTTGAATTAAAATATTTAAAAATTTTTAAAATATTTAAGAATAAATTTGTTGATACTGAAATCAGTACTCTACTCTAAGCTTTATTTTAAGCATCAGGTTTAATGATTTTACGTGCACCTTGCCGAAACGCTCGTATTTTGTGGGTTACACAAATTCAAAAGGCAATTGACAGTTTCGAAATTGATACATCTCGAAAGGTAATTTAATTATGTTATCAGAATTGAGAAAATTTCGAAAATTCTATATTTTTGGTATGTTGAAAATCATTTTTTGAATATTTATACGAAATATCCTAGTGCATTTCAAAATCGTTTATTTTTCCTTGTTCTAGAGTGGTGAATCTTCTATCGATGCAGCAGGTCTCGGACGATTGCTTATTGAATTATCCTTTGTTGGTAATATTGAAACCTCTCTCACGTGCGATAAACAAATTGTCTGTAGATTCGAATTAGGAAAACATTCAGCAACCGGTGAAGCTAACCTCAAGAATGAGGAATGCCTCTTTACAACTCAACTCCCCATTATTTCCATGGATAGCATTTTTCACGTATCAATATTTATTCCATGTATCTACTCACCTGATATTTGCGCAGGTAATTATCATAAAGAGGCGTCACATAAACGAACAAAAACAATAGAAAAATGTTTTGTGTAGTAGGAAGAAATCACTATATTTTAAATGAATCTACTGAAGTTTTAATGGTATAATAAAGGTTCGGAAACAAGTGTACTGTGACTGGATTATTGGTATTATACTGGATTTATAAGATCACTAAAATTTCAAAAACATTCGACGATTATTGCTTAATTTTAAGAGCGATCAGAAAAATAAAACCATTCACAATTACTGAAATATATTCAGAGCGGTTTTTAAGGTTAAATTACCGTTTCTATCCGAAAATAATATTTTGTGCTTTCCAGGTACAGGTGAAATCAAATTAGAAGATCTCATAACAGCCACTTCTTCACATCGTGGACCAATTTCTCGTCAATTTTATCTTGATGCAAACCACTCCAATACAGCAAATCGGCCCTTTGTTATAATCAAATTTGTAGTTCAGTTATTTTAGCAAAAATATTTTAGTGAAAAATGAGAAATATCGCCATTTAACCACTTATTCGTTCTTCGAATCTTAATGTATGAGGCATATGTTCTGCATGAATTCGAATATTATAAAACATTTCATTGATTGACGAAATGTTAATGTAATTTTATAAATAACGGTACACTTCCAATATATTTTCAATAAATTTTATTGGATAATCTAAAGCAATAAAGAAGGGATCTGAGAGTCCTTCAAAAAGTCTCCGAGGAAAAAACCATAGTGATAATAATTAGTTGTAAATATACATTAACATATTTTAAAAAATTCCTCATTTTATAATATTTTACGATGAATATCGAAAAGTATAATCCACATAAAAAAAAAGCTCAAGATACCTCAACAATTTAAGGAAACGGATCTCTTTGCTGAAAAAAAACAAACGAAATGGAACCATTAATCTAAAGTAAAAATACAATTTTTTCCAAAATTTTCTACAGATTAGTGGTGAGTAATTATCTTTGACAGAATAAAATCCTTGCAAAATTCGCGCCGAAATTTTTTAGAGAAATTATGTGCATTTATCAATAAATTTCGCTAGTCTATGCATATCGCAAGGCACAAATGGTTTCAATTCAGAAAAATTAACAGTTTGAAGCAAATTTAATAAATTAGTAACATTTGTATAAAAAATATGGCCTTCATCTGCAAGGCGCTCAGCTAATTCCAACTGGTGATTGCCCATCAAATCTTCATTAACTACAACAATGAGTGGTTTACGAAGTTTTAAAGCTTCTAGGCAAGTGCCTGCTCCTATAAAATAAACTTCTTTGTATAAATGAATTAAAATAAATGGATATTTTTGCTATTACGAAAATAAAAGAAATTTAAATTTTTTAGAAAATTTCAAAAATTGAATTGCTCGCTTAACAATTTCAAGAATAACTTTATACCTGCATGTCCTATAATAAAATCGGCTGCTTCCATATCAAATTTAATATCATCCTTGTAACAGTATTGCTCTATCTGAATACCATTAAAATTTCTTTTATTATCACCAATATGTATTATTCCTGCACCAGATTGTAAAACCAAATATGAAACACCTCTTTGTCTCAGAATTTCAAGGCATGGTTCAGTCATTATTTTATTAATCAATGAATCAAATTTTGTAGTTCCGACAGTAACAAAACAACGCATATCTAGAAAAATAAAAGAAATTTAAACTTAAATCGAAAAATTTTCGAAATTTTTTAAAATTTTACCATTTTAATCTAATCTTTCTCATAAAAAATTGTTTAAAGTAAAACTATGAAAAAAAAGTGAGAAAAATAACAAAACTGCAAAAAATGATAATAATACAAGTAACAGCAAAGAACTTAAAAAATGACAAAAAAGCGAATTAAAAACCTTTACAAAACTTTTCAAAGTCCTAGAATTGAATTTATAGAAGGTCGAAGCCAAGAATCATGGCTGTCTTCTGCTAGTTGTTTCTTGATTGCCTCCAATCGTTTTTTATGGTTTTCTAAAAAAAAATTATGCAGAATTCCAGAGAAACTCATATTTTCATCTTTGAAAAATTTACAAATAAATAAATAATGGAAATAAAAACCTTCTTCAAATGATTTCTTTGTAGATTCAAAGTTTTGTAAGAAAACTGCGTCCGCATAAAGTTGCTGAGTTGTGTCTAAAATCATATTTACATTTATAGTGAAATTTTAAATATATTTGTGATATTAAATAATCTTTAAAATTTTTATAGATTTATAAATGTAAATCTGAAAGAAAAATTTGAAATAAAGAATTCAAAACATCGTTAAAGTAATTTTAAAAGCAAATTTAGAGAAAAAGGACTTTTGAGGAAGAAAAACTCAAAAATAAAAGAGTAAACTAAAATGAAAAGAAATGAGAACATTGAACATAAAAAGAAATAAAATCGAAAAAAAATTAAACCAAAGAAACGAACCAAATTTATCAGACTTTTGACTGAAAGGATGAAACGTCGATTCAGTAGGTGATAAAGCACCAAACGGTACAAAACCCTCCGACATTAGTTCCAAATCCAGCAAAATCTGAAATCAATTAATAACGTAGACAAGAAAACGTTGTAAGATCTAAAAAAAGATTTCTGATAGAGTACAGCACAATATCACAAGACGAAGGATGTCTGCCTCATTTCCTCGTGCGAAAAAAAAGAAAGCATTATGTGTGGATGGACTGGAAATTGGAAAAAGCTCGTAATGATAAGGTTCATCCTTCTTCCAATAGCTTATTAAAACGAAATTTTCCAATCTTGAGCGGTTGTATTTCTATTTCGCTGTTATTTTTTTGCGCTTTTTTTCGGAATATTTTTAGAATTTCTGTAAACTATGAGTTAAGTTTTTTTCTAATTTTAAAAAGCAAAGAATTGGAATAAATTTGGAATATATATTTAAAATTTATAATATTACAAAATAATTATGTCTGTCTTTGACAGGAGTAAACCTGTTAAAAATAAGGTTTGCCGGTGACCCATCTGTGACTTGGTGAAAGGGCCAAATATTCTTAATACGGTGTCTTCTGATGTGCATGATACTCGCAAGTCGGTGGTACATGCGAGAATTATACGATTCAGGCGTAAAGCGATCCCAAGGCTTACAAACAAAATATGCCAGGAATTGCTCGAAACCTATCGAGGGAAACAGCTCTCTGCACGCCTGGCAAGGTATTAGACGTATCAGTGTGGAACGTTTATGAACGTTAAAAGTCAAGTGATCACTGTCCACATCCTTTCTGGATATCGTATGGATACCTGCCTGTCCCAGGTCTCGAGTAATTATTAATCATGACTCGGAATAGAGATATTGGCTATGATCACTGTGATGCATCGGATAACTCGGGGCAACATGGCGTAGCGACTGTCATATCTGACAAGACAGATTTCGCTTTGAGTGGAAACCGGTAAGCGATCGTATGGCCTATACCCGTTTTAAAGGTAAGGATAAAGATAAATTCTACGCGGAACTTCAGTTGTTAACAGAGTCTACCGAAACATGATATGGTCGTAATCTGGGAAGACTGGAATACGCGCGTAAGTCATAATGCCGCTGCGATGACTTCGATAACCGGCAAATATGGCATCGGAGACCAGTGCGCCAATAGAAATCTCTTTTTTCATTATGCCAAGAGCATTTATCTCAGCTTTCGATTTATCTCAGTGATACAGATATCAATAACTTTTCTGGAACGGTAAATGAATACTGGAGTAAATAAAACTAAAGCAACGTCTCCGACTTCCACGCTTACTAGTGCCTATTAGGGCATACTAATAGGAAATGCGCTAGTTGGGTATCGGAAGCAACTTTCCAATTGAAAAAGCTGCCAAAGCGGGAATGTTAGATTCTGACTACCGAATGCTTCGAAAATTTGCAATGAAAGCAGCACAGCGGGACAGAAATCACTATTGGAGTGACATGGCCTGGAGAATGGAGACGGCAGCTCAATTATGCGATAATAGGAATTTATTTCGCGTTCAAGATCCAAAAAATTAAAATCCCTTATTCCGAAACCCGAAAATTTAAAATCGAATGATCGAAATTCTAAGTTGATATTCCAGAGATTTAAATAATTTTGGTCCGTTTGGTGGTCGGCGGTGTCGCGAAATGCGATGTTCTCTATTATTTCAAATTTATTATTTCAAACTGACCCCGTCCCACCAAATAAAACCTTTCATTAACTTATTAATTCTTTGCCTTTACATCTATCAACAAAAGGTAAAGATCAATTTATAGTATATATTGTATATTCTTGTATATTGTATATCTTGTATACTTATTGTATATATTGTATATTCTTCTCATTATTACCTCATTTTGGGCCAAGCGATTGAGTCCCAATATTTTAATATCATATACTTTATTATTTGACATCCCTTATACTATTTGATCATTTCTTATTTATTTTGAAATAGTTATCTCTGGGTTTAATTCGCATCGAATATTGCTTTTTCTGTCTATACATTAATCGGTTATTAATATGTGCGATGATCAGTATTTGTTCTACTGTCCTGATAAAACAGCTGGATGAAGGTTATTCTAGAATATTTGTGGGTGGCAGGCGAGCAGTATCCCACTGCTTTCAATCATCTATTTTTACAGTTGTGACCAAATAATGCTAAATAACGTGTCAACTGTAAATAAACTTAGGGTCATTGTAAATATAACGAAAATATTTTCATTTTATGTGCAAGAAGCTGGTAAAATGCCTCTTTTTATAAATTCATTGCCGGTTAAGAAAGTGCGATTTTGACTTTGGGCCCACTCTAATACCAAATGGCCCGACAAATAACGTCGATCACAGCTAGAAGAACGTTCTTCCGAAATCTTTATAGAGCCGTCGTGAAATCACCAAAAAAACGAAAGTCTGCATCTATATCTGTGATTCGTACGATCTTGCTGTATGGTTGTAAGATATGGCCAATGAGAGTGGAGGATATTAAGAAGTTATTTGCCTTTGAGCATTCTTATATATATTTTACTGGTCTGGTGAGCGGATATCACATGATCGCATCCACCTTCGTTCAGATACTATTTGCATTAATAATTAACAGATGCATGAACAAATATGATGTGGAAAGTTAAAATCTTTGTTAAAATTTTGTTGTTTTTCCTTTTTTAAAAAGGAAAAGAAATAAAGCTTTATGAATTCTTACCGTATTTATTACTATTATTATTACTATTATTTTACTTCTTCCCTTCTGTTGTTTCGGACGACAGGAGTTGATGCATATTTCATTACGTGCTAAACCCTGTGATGGATGGCGTCAAAAGCGAGGTGGGCCAATCAATGCCTGGATTGAATCAGAAAAGATTTTGAACATATAGGTGAACCAGCAATAAGACTTACACGATAGAAAAAGGAATGGCTTCTATCACTGCAGCATCAGACCGCGCGGCTTGGAAATGTCTTACCCTTACAGCCCTTGGAGTAGCCTAACCAGTAATGGTGAGCGCTGTTGCAAGAAGAAGAATGGCTTATATTTGGAGAGGTTTGCGAAATATTTTAGTGGGGATCGATGGTGGGGATGGATTTACCACTTTCATTTTTATTGGCAGATTTATTTCATTTAGGGAGAGAATTGAATTGAACGCATTTATATATATGATAGTCTTCCTCTTTTTTTCGCACCACTATTTATGAGGCTGGTTGCGATGTTTACTTCTGAAAAATTCTGAAAATTAGCAGTCCCTATTCTAAAGCTTACATCACTGCGTCAGTATTATATTCATTCATCCAGCATTTCTTTTAACCATTTATGTCAAAATTGGGTCCTAATTGGTTCTATTTGCAAGTTTGGTATATGGCGAAATATATATTTGAATTCTTGCAATGACCGATGGATAAAAGCGCAGGCACCAAACTTATGCTCCATGAGGAAAGCAGATGGTACTTAAGCGAAAGTGAATGCAATCATATAAAATTCTGGCCGCTTGGCAAGCGCGAAAGAAGATTCTTGATATCTTGCATTCGCTTTCACCACAATTTTCAGCAATACATGATTTCTACACGAATTACAGCCAGTTATTATCCATTCGATGTTGATTTATCTGCTTAAAGATATTGTCAGATGGAAGAAAAATTTCTAGCAATTATGCAAGCAGAAATTCTCTTTTTCATTTGGTATAAGAGTAGATCCACGATATTTAGAGAGGAATGAATTTAATCAATTTAAAATTTTATAAATTCAGAAAATCCAATGTTTCATTAAACAGAGAGTGAATTTTTGGCACTCGATTACTTCATAGTCGGCAAAAATAAATGAAATAATAGCCAGATGAAGGCAAAGAAAATAATGCATAGTTTTGGTCAAATTAGGCAAAATGTTATGCGAAATTCCTAATAAACTTACTGTTGAATCAGATATATCTCATTCTATGAATAAAGGAGTGCAAGTAAAATGAAAATCGATGAAAACAAAGCTCGAACCTGTAATGCGATCTAAGGGCCCATTCGATCAAATCTACGATTTTTTAAAGCAAATTGAGGAATTTCAGAAGATTTTAACTATAACGGATTTTGGAGAGAGTTTGCAAATCCAGAATAAGTACCATTAAATATTTAGATTTTATCGGGTGCCAGAATTCAATTTAATAATTATTATTTATCATTTATTGAAAACCATCCAAGCAGGGCGACAAACGCCATGTGCTTGCATTAATAACAGCAGCTAAAATAACATAATAAAAATTAATAAAAAAAGGAGAAAATATGGCAAAAATTAATAATTTAAAGAGAAAATAAAGAACAAATTATAAAATAATATAATATAGTACAATTCGAAGTAACTGTATCATATATAATCGGTTGGTAAAAATCGAGATTTCACACTTCCTGCATGATATGAACTTTTTAAATATTGTCATAAATGATATTATCTAATCTTTTTTTAAAGATTGCTAAGGATATTAAAATTGCTATTGGGAGAAAGGCATCGTATAAACTATTTTTGGAGTCCTTCAATTATTTTACTTGATTTACGATATCTCGAGGACTAACATGTGATATTGTAGTCAAGAAGTGGCCGAACAAACCCTTTGTACATTTTGATAAGGAAATCTTCAGTTTTGTTCGTAAACGAACGAAAAATAAAATTTAGCATCTTTCAGGATTTCTTTACCACAGTTCTGCAGTGAAGGTGGAAATGCATCCATGATTATTCCAAGATCGGAAATGTGTGAGACTGTTTTGATTATATTACCATTAATAAAAAGATTAGGAAGATGGAATCCTTTCGAATTTATAATTTATATTAAACGTTAAACTTTTGAGAAGGGCAATTTGCCTATCATATTGCCATTTCTGTTATTCTGTTATGGTTATTCTGTTGAGGTGTTCCTGCGGTGGAGATAGGTTATCCGCTCTACTATAAGAATAATTATATAATCCAGCACAAAGATAAATGGCAGAATTTAGCACCACTTTGGTGATATCATTTACATATAATAGAAAAAACAATGGCGCAATACAACTACCTTGGGGAACACCAGATTTAACAGGTTTTATGTCAGAAAGAATGTTATTGACGAGTACGGCTTGGTGATGATCTTTTATGTAATCTAACCCTCAGTTATAAAGGGCCCCTGTAATGTCATAACTATTAAGAGTGATCAACAACTTGCTATGGGAAACAGTATCAAAAGCTTTGGCCCAATCTAGGTAAAACTGTTTACAACTAATACTGTTTTTCCATTGTCAATTGACGCTGATAATCGAAAAGATTTGCCAATATTTGTAAAGTATATTTTTTCGTACAAAAGCCATGCTGATAGATGGATATTAAATTATTGGCGTCAAGATAAATTGTTGTAAATCAACCTTGTTGTAAATCAACCTTTGCATGTTAGGCTAATTAGAAGGGTCATAGGGCTTCCTTTTCTATGAATGGGAAATATATGAGACAATTTCCAAATTTTGGGATTAAGGCCAAACTTCATAATATCTTTATATTAGAAATAAAGAAGGAAGACTCAGAAATACTGCACATTTTTTATAAATTATTTGTGGAATATTATCGCGATCAACTGAAATGGACAGCTTATTTAAAGCATCCAGTAGCGTTATTTCAACCTCACCGAGAGAAACGCAACAAATTCGATTTGCGTTAAAACAAGAAGGATGAGTATTATCCTCAACAAATACACTAGAAAAATATTGCAATATCAATATCAGAAGTGATCATATTATCATTAATTGTTTACGTGGATCAAATTTTCTTTTGATGTAGGTCCAGAAAAAATTTCTATTAATATTTAAAAGTTGCTCTTCTTTATTTGAAAAGTAATTATGAATGAACTTTATTTGAAAAGTAATTATGAATGAACGGAAACTTTTTAAGCTTTCTTTATATTCAGAGAGGCCATTTGGCAATTTGGTTAATTGATATTTATTATAAAGCTTATTATAAAGCTTGATACTTTTTTTAAGAGATTTTAAAAAAATGGAAATCGGCCCAACGATTTTTTTCCTTAAAAAGATATATTGTTCTATAAGAAATAAAATAAAATGATGCTATAAAAAAAATTAATTTTTTCATCAATGGAGTGAATTAGACAAAATAGGATATAATATAAGATATAATAAAATAAGATAAAATAAGAAATCCCAGCTCATTTTTGCGAGGACAGAATTAATGAATTCACAGTCGCAGTGACGGTAATTTCTAGAATAATTCGAGGAAGATACATAACGGTCTAATTTTAATAAAGCATGAATGATATAATGATCATTATTACAAAAAGATTCCAAGACTTTAATGCTACCAACAAAAGAAGTAGGAGTAGCTAAAACAACATCTAATATAGTGTTATACCTAATGGCAATCTTAATATGTTGTTCTAGACCTATATAAATGCAAAAGTTTAGAAATTTCTCTTCAAATTTGCTGTTATTTTTCAAGCTACTATTTTCCCAATCTATGTTTGGCATATTAAGATCACCAATAACTGCATAATGGCACCAAATAATTTTAATCTGAATAATAGATTGTAAAGATCCCTAGTGAATTTTGTTACCATAGCCGAGTGGTATAGATTTATCTTATTTTAGCTATTAGAGATTCAAAGGAAGAACAAACATAATCATCAAAAATTACAAATTTATAATAATATTACGAATAAGCATGGTAAGCAATATTGCCCACATCCACGAGTATTTAAACTATTTATTGCTCTATCCTTGCGTGATACTTGAAAGCCATCGAAGTTAATTTCCGATTATCAGGAGAGTCATCCAACCACCTTTCATTAATACAAGAAACACTATTTGGGTTATCAATTAGTAAGAGTTGTAGATCATAAAGTTTATATTTTCAACTTGTAGCATTAAATATATATAAAGATAGATTACTTCACATGTTATTAATCTTACTTGGTAACTTGGTAAATTATCATGTATAAAGATGAGAAAAAGGTGAAATAAAAATTATTTGTCGTTACAAACCATTGACAAGGCTGCCTGAGTTCCACTGTTTAAAGATTCCGCTATTTCTAACGACATACTTTAAATTGAGGCACTAATTTCGGATGTAACTTCTTTTCGCAACTATTTGTCTAGCAGTAGTTCTTCTCTTCTTCGTCAGATCTTCCTGCGAAAAACTTCCATGGGGAACAATCGAGCGCACGTTCTTATTGCGCAAAATAAATATGGCTATATACTTATCTTCTCGAATTTCTCGAGTCGAATTTCAAGTTAATTTTAAGTACTCGTGGCCTGCTGATTCTTCCCTTCCATGTCGACGAATTTTCTTAATGTAATCAGTCTCGATCCTCTGCAGCTATAATTATTCTTTGCTAAAAGCCTATCGGCAATAACAGTCTCAAATCCGCAAATTTCTCCAGAATATTTATACCAATTAGATATGGCTCTTTTTTCGAAATATTCATCGATAATTTCCAATATTTGCTTAGTTGAGATTTTTTGAGGCTCGAAGTTGCCACTCAAAGATGAAGCTTTCAAATTTTTAAATCAAGTTCTTCGTTGACCTTTGTAAATATTTCGACATATCTGGTTAAGTGAAAATTTAGATTTTGCTATTTATTTTTCACATTTCTCAATAATGAAGGATAGTTGTAATCTCAGATCCTCAATAGTTTTATTTATTTAACCAGCTGACATCATTATTGGAAAGGACCCCATTAATTGCTACTTTTTTTCGGTGCCATTTGCAATTTGCAATTACAAGTGCCCGGTATAAAACGATAATAACAATATATTTTTGAAAAGTAAAAAGTAAAATCTTTTATAAAAATGAATAAGAATGCAATATATATTTCTTCTATTCTTTTTAGCGAAGCATAATACAATATAATTAAAAATATGAATTATTGAAATATTGATGGAGAGAATGACCGCCACAACCGCTCACGAAAATAGCAAATTTAAAAAATTCAATTTAATAACTCTCTTCCTCTCTCGCCTACTCTCACCCCCCATCCGCTCTTCTTTCATCCTTACAATAAGCCTATTATTGAAATAAGGTATATTTTTAAATATATCGCATCAATTTTTATGCTTAAATTTGTGATATTTTGTGCATGCAGCTCAAATGTAATATTTTTATTACACCGTTTCTTAGGAGATAAACGTAGGAATTAACGAAAGATAGAGAAAGGACAAAAGGAAAAGAGGGAAAGAAAATAGGAAATAAAAGGAAGTTCTCTTATTAGAAGAGTATGTCTAAGAAAGTTGTATTTAGAGCGATTATGGGAAAATATCAGTTATTTCTATCCTTTTATTGTTAAATATTTTATGAAATAGTTCTTATTAAATATTCTGAGAAAAAAATTTTTTTTCTTAGCAAATATACGAGTCAATATTATATATATTCGCACTCATTTTAACTTAAAATTTTATTTCTCGTATAAACTTTTCTTAAGTTTCATCGCAAAAATTTAAAAAAAAATTTAATCAAATACGACATTTTCCGTACAACGAAACCAACGACTCAAAATTTATTTCGAAAAATAATAAATTGTCGAAAATAGAAAATGGTAAAGTAAATTGTCGAAAGTACTAATATATGCAGAAAATTTAAATTAATAAAATTTAAAATTAAAAGAACTCAAAAATAATAATTTCCATATTCCCACCACTTAACTTGAAATCTATAACCATTTCGAAAAAAATCTATCATGAAATATTAATATCATTAATTACACTATTTTATTACTACAAAAGAATTAAGTTAGACTTCTCGACTTTCTCAGTAAATTTAAATCAAAACTATCTTTGCAGTTTTTTACTGGCATAAGACCAACGTATAAATCAGCATCGATAATTTCTGATTTTACAATTTTTTGCTCAACTACCGTCGCCTGACAACACTTTTTTTGGGAAAATTTTGATTGAATATAGGTAAAAGTCATACTTCTAAATCTTTGACTACATAATAAATACAAAAAGAACGGAATTGTAGCATTAACCATTGATAATAAATTGTTGCCGTGATTTAGCATACAAGTCAATGTGTTCGCATTCCCATCACCTTAAAATAAATTTTATATAGTTACTGAGGCTGAATAACTGAATATTATATTTCCAGTAATTCTTTTATTAAAATTTAAAATTTAATTTAATTGCACGGATGAGGCATGGTGTGATAAAAAAAATATAAGCTATTTGGCTGACTTCAAGAAGCTAAAGAATCCCAGAGAGCCATTTTACAATTTTTTGTTCAACTGTCGCAGTACCAGTAATACTGCTGCGCCAGTCCAATAGGTACCATTCAAATTCTTAATGATTTATTCCTATCAAAAAGAAGCCAAATCATATAATATAAGTACAAGGTGCGAGAAGTCGTGAAACGCCTTCTGCCTTTCCACTTAATAGGATGGGGAGAATGGGAAGGAATAGGGAATAGAATGCCTTTCCACTTAAAAAGTAAAGAAGAAAAAAGAATTAGAGAGAATGACCACCAATAAGGAAGCCAATAAACGGCCTTTTTTCTCCACAGAAGAATTCGAAGATGCTCTACATTGAGTCACTGTGGATTTAGGTTTACCCTTAGTCAAAGGAGCATGCCATACAATTCCTATTCAGCGAAATGTTAATGTTCAAATACTTAAGTTAATGGCGTTCGAAAATTTTGAAAATTAGTACAAGAAATCAATAAACCTTTTAATGCTGCTACTGCAAAGGTTAATGAAGCTGGACCTTCAAGAAATAAATGAGACAAAGTTGTTGCAGTTGTGATTCGAACCACACATTTACGGCGCTGACTGAATATTGCGCCAAGATTTTTCTAAAAATTCGCTAAAAACCATAGAGTTCATAAAGCTTTCAAAATTTATTCAGGATAAGTAAGCCATAATTTTATTCAGAAATTCTGTTTTCTGAATTAAGTTTTCTGAATTAAAAAAAAAAGGAGAATAAAAATTGCCTTCAGAGAAACTTGGCAAACTATCACTATTGTACAAAAAAGCATCAATAATGTTGGAAGGACAATCGCAAGCATCATAAGGATCCAGTAATAAATTTTTCCAAAAACTGAATCTTCTGATATGCGCATCATATATCTAATAGCATTTAAATAGCATTTTTTATTACCAACTTCACTTATCGATATAAATACAGTTTGCCGTACATCATAAAAACTGATAAAAGCAATGTGAAGACAAAAACTGAGGATTAATGCAACTAAAAAGATGGAGAAACTGAGTCGTTTCGTACAAATTATTCGGAAACGCAACGGAAAAATTATACACATTGCAGTTTCAATTGTTACTGCCAATGACATCCTGAAAAATTTGTATATATATACTAATAATAATTATAATATAGCAAAAATAATAGGCATTAACAGTGATAAAGTGATAGTAGTGGTAATGATGATAATGAAAACATTAACAGCAGTAGCGATGATAATAAAAAAAATACAATAAAAACAATAGGCAAATATATAGAAAAATATAAAGAAAAATCATATAAGCACGAAATCAGCCAAAATTAGAACAGAATAAATTTCAAATATTTCAAGTGAAGCACCATATTCGATAGACAATCTTCTTCAATATCCAACAGGATTTTAAAATTATTATATTCAAAATTATTAATGTATTTTTATTATACTGTAGAATATGGAAAAGAATATGGAACTCAGTCCTGATAGAAATCAGCTTTTTTCGGAGGATCTTCCCAAGGATTTTCAATTCCCCATACCTGCACCGATTTTCGCTGGTGAAACGCCTTTATTAGTCGAGTGATGATTTTCTTTGGAACACTTTTGCATTGCTCCATCAATGAAATGGAAGACAGCGGCAAAATCAATGAAACAGGTAAAGGTGGGGCAAATATTTGAATATTTGCCAATATTTGAAATGATTTTTTAACACTCAACTTGGACAGATTATAAGGTCAGCTCATCTGGACCCTCGTCTGAATCCAGCTTGCATATTCTGCTATTCTTTTAATGCCACAAGTTTATTCAGCAAAAGGGAAGTGAAAATTTTCCCAAAGATACTGAGTAAGATAAATCCTCGATAGTTGGTACAACACGTTCCAAGGCGTATCACTCTTCTTGAAAATTGGAAATTTGAAAAGAAAATTGCTTCATTTATCTATCATTAGCTTTTTCTTCCAATGTAGAATATGTAGGGTGCCTTGAGGGTGCCTTATAAAGGAAGTTGGACACTTGAAGAGTTCATCCTGATAATCTTAAGCTTTTGAATAGCTGAGATAATTTCTTGTTCTGTTGGAGGCTCGCAATTGCTATTAAAACCATTCAGCGGTGAGAAAAAATAAAAGAGTGCTTTATACGATATTAAAAAGAGGTTACTTAAGTGCCAATAATAATTGTAAACGAGAAAAAGCCAGGAAAATCGAAAAGTGAAAATATTTTACGAACAATTGCAAACATTGCAGAATATGCGCATCATCTATCTGGGAGGGCAGATGGAGCATCTCGGTTATTTATAGTTTATTTTAAAGAAATCTCTTCACTGAACAGGGAGGTCATTGAGATTTCATCTTTATCACGGCAATCTGCATTTAACATAATAATGAACAAGACATTGTGGAAAGATCCTTTTATCGAATCATTAGATCGAGTTCATTCAGACTATATGATAATCGCTATTTCGCATCGAGTTACACGTTTAAGGCCCAAATGCTCGAGACTAAAATGAAAAAAACGAACTTCTAACAAGCATACGACGTCCACGCGATATTTAGATATTTAAATAAATTGTGGATGGTTATCATCTGATTCGCAATATCCATGAGAAACTGTTACAGCTAGGATGCTTACGAAGAATTGGAATTGCCCACCTCTAATAAAAGATCTCGAGCTTATTCTGACTCGAGAGGGCTCACATTCTACTCTCGGACCGAAAAATCATTTCACCCTATTTGCACAGTTATCGCATGTATCACTTGCCTAGGAGCGTTCATCATGCACGTCGAAAGGTGCAGACATTCTCTCAACGCAACCAGATCTTTTTACCAGAAAGTCGCTTGAGGATATAAGTATAGTTTGGTCCCCAGGAACTTCTTGGATTTTTTTGGCCAGGGTTTTTTATTTTCTTACAAATTTATATCAAAATAATGTTACCCAAGTTTGAGGTTCGCAGCGCAAAAATCATTAGGAGGGCGCTGCAGAAATTATAATATTGTGGAGCAATTAAAAGTCCCGCGTGGCAGGAAAATTTGTTAAAAACTATAAAGAAAATTCAATGGAGCGGATTCCCGAAGGAATTTGGTAAAGCTAGATATTAGAAGTGGAATCGCCGTGCTTCCGAAATTTTCGTGTTGCCAAGTTTTCTCTACCATGGTGCGTCAGTGGTTCAGTGGTAGAATGATCGCCTGCCACATAATTATTTGGAAAGTTTAGAGATTGAGGAAATTTTATCCTATTATTGCCATTATTACTGTTACTATTACTGCTATTTTATCAATAAAAAAAGAAAAGCAAAAATAAACAAATGAAGAGGGAAGAATAACCGTCTCTGAAAAAAATGAATAAGGAACATTTTGTTGAAAACGACCGCTCGCTGATAAAAAATTTAAAAAAAATTTCTATTATTCTGGAAAAAATCACTATGCTTTCCAAGATTTTCTTAATTTACGAAGAAGGTATCCAATATCTGAATTAATCATCGAACATATTAACTTGACTTTTTCGAAAAACTTAAATCTTAGATGTGTTAATAATAATTAATAATAATAATAATAATAATAATAATAATAATAATAATAATAATAATAATAAAATCATAAATAATAATTTAATAATAAAAAAAATCGCTATCAAATTTTTTATCAGTGACGTTCATAAATTTAAGTTAAAATTTAAACTTTTTGTTTTCTTCCTTTTCTTACAACACTCACCATTTCCGTTTGGCTGGATCTATTATTAAGATGAGAGATTCGCTAGAAATTGTTTTAAAATTTCGGACTCCCTAACACCATCCAGATTTCAATTTTGATGTAGAGTGTCACCCACTAAGGCATGGAAATTTAATTTATGGATTAATCGTACTTGAAGCAAAACATCGTTGCGCCCCAAATTTTTACATTAAAAGTTTTGCCGATAAAAATTTTAAATTTTTTAAAGTTTTTTCGCATTATTTTCTTTTCTTTTGAATTTTATTATTATTGCTTGATTCAACTATTTTTTTTTATTTTCTCATCATCAAATTTTTTTCGAAATATTTTATTATTGAATTTTTATGATTTTCTTATTTTCTCAGTTTGAATGTTGTAATTTTCTAAATATTTTCTTTTCTCCTTCTTCAACAATGATAATATTCAATGCGATTTATGAACAACAATCGCAAATGCTAATTCATCTGTGAAATTAGAGTGATTCTATGAAAAAATTTCGATTATAAAATTTTCAATCAAGTAGAAATTTAGAATATATAAATAAATTTTATGGAAATAAACAGATAAATACCAAGAAGATAATGATCCACTTATATTAGCAATAGTTATCATTAATGGTTTAGTGGTCCAGTAGAAATATTCGAAAGTTCGCAGCGGATTAACTGTCCAAGCATGGATTACCTACAGATAAATAAAATTGCTTTTTTTTATAAGAAAAATTGTCAATGAAACGGTAAAAACAACAAAAATTTCATGAAAGTCTTGATAAATATGATTTAAATAAAAAGAAATATTTTCCATATTCCATTATTTTTGGCGAAAAATAAGCCACTTTTCGCCAAATATAAAATGGAAAAAAAGGATAAAATATATGATTAAAAAAATAACTTCCTTGTAAACCTCAAAAATCCTAGATTCAACGAAGATAAGGTTGGCGAAGGCTTTTGCTATTAGAAAATGCACAGAGGTGGTTCCTTTAAAATAAGGTAAACGATATATGAAAAGATTAATAGCATTGCCAGCAAGGCAAGAAATAAGCAAAAAAGGTATAGCAAATTGGTTGATTCTCCTTGCTAAATATCCGCATTCCGAATGATATTCTGGTCCATGCATAATCTCTGGCCCTAAATATTTTCAGGATTAGTTCTCAGGATTCAGGATTTGTCTTTTTTTCAAAAAATCGTTTTTTACTTCACAAAATATATCCATTTCTTGAGAATATTCCCCTGTTTTTGCATTTTAATATTCCTTTTATTACCATTTCAGCATAATAAGGCAATTTTCTATAAATATCTCGAAAAGCAAAAAATTGGCTTTTTATGAATTTTCAATCGAATACTCTGAAGTTAAATTCCATTAAATTTAAGGAATAATTGTTGATAAATGCAAAATTAACAAAATTTTTGAAAACTCATGTACATGAAATATTTTTAGATGGACAACGGCTTATCCCTTCTCGTTCATATTGAAAAGCTTGAGAGAGACTAGAAATGCAATCATCAAGCACCATCGATTTCCCGAAGTTTTTTTCGCATTTCACCAGTAAGCGATTTTTCAACAAATCGACATTCATCTATAAAATATAAAATAGTTATGGCGAGAACTCGTCAAAAAATCAAAATCAGGAGATGATGCACGATTTTGAATAATTGAGTGGCCAAGTTTAAGAAAGAAAAGAAAAAAAGAAACTTAGAATGAATTTTGCAACCCAAATATTCGTAGTTAGTGAATTTTTCGGAAAAAAAAGGAAAACGCAGATAATAACTTTCGTTTTAACAAAGTCATAAAGTCAAATTTAGAATGGATTTTGCCACCAATGAATAATGCGACGTTGCAAGCATTATAAATCATCAAATCACCGTTTATTTAAAAAAATTACTTCCTAATTTGCGATAGTTTGATTTGCACATAGAAACTATTTTCAGTGTGAAGAATTTTCGAAATCGCCATTATTTAAATTAACTATCCAACATTAACTATTATTATTAAAAATTCTTAAAAATTCTCTCTCAATCTCTCTCATTTAAATAAATTTCCAACATAAGATTAACTATCGTTGATTGCATAAAATGTGCTTAATTAAACCAATAATTCCATGATTTTATTATGGAAATCGCTCTAGGAAGGTCAGCCAACATCCATTTGTACGTAATAATTTCTGGAAAAGCAGATAACAGAAATAAGTAGCCGCGGAACAATTTGTTACTAACACTCCAGATCAATGTCGCACTTCATTCAGAATATGAAAAGAAGGAAAAAATAACCGCCAAAAATTGTCGTTTTTCGAATAATTAAATAAAATTATATCTTCCACTTTTCATTTAATTCGTCTAAAAATAAATCTTTTTGGCTAATATAAACAATCCTTTGAATTTAAGAAACGCAATTTCGTTAAATAACGATTTAATTTATAAA